TATTTCTTATATGTTCAATCAATTGAACCATGAGCTTGTAAATTATTATGGATGATTTTGCCTCTGCTGAGCGTACAGAACTTGAAGCAATCAATTCGTTTAACCAATTAAGGGAACTTTTGAGTGAGCTTGGTATTCAGGAATCTGTTAATAAAGCTGTCCGTCCTACTCAGCATATGACATTTTTAGGTATATTGTTTAAAACTGATTCTATGACCATAGAGGTCACCCCTGAACGCTTAAAAGCCTGTGTACTAGACTTAGATAATTGGCTTGCAAAAGATTCAGCTACAAAGCGTGAAATTCAGTGTTTAATAGGCAAGTTACAATTTGTTGCTAAATGTGTAAGACCGGGTAGAATTTTTATATCACGTATGTTAGACACACTCAGGTCTTTACCCTATCAAAATAGCAAGACCTTATTGGATATAGATTTTAAAGCAGATTTGAATTGGTGGAGAAAATTCCTTAATACTTATAATGGAATTTCTGTATTGGGGGATGTTTTATTTTCCGAACCAGGTGCTGTGTTTCTGACTGATGCCTGTTTAGTGTCTTGTGGTGGATTTTGTGACAATCTTTGTTTTTCCACGAAATTTCCAGCTCATATCTTGGATAGGAACTATAGTATTAATATTCTAGAATTACTGACAGTATTAGTAGCTGCTAAGCTTTGGGGTCATAGATGGCAAGGTCTTAGGATCCTTGTGAAATGTGATAATATGACTTCTACAATTGTGATCAATACTGGTAGATCACATAACCAAATGCTAACTAAATGTGCCAGAGAACTTTTGTATATTGCTGCATGTTATAATTTTGATATCAGGGCTGTGCATATTGCTGGGAAACTCAATTATATTGCTGATCAATTGAGTAGAGGATATAGTGCTAAAGTATTGAAAGATAACCCTTCTTTCATTTTGCATGATTGTCCTGATTCCTGGTTTGATTTTACTCATGATTGGTAACTAACTTTGCATTAATGGATATTGATAATTCTATTTGCAGATCAAACCCGGATTCAGTGGCAATTGTTGCAGCATGAAACTAGATTAACTCAGAGACAAGCTTATTCATCTGGCACTTTACAGAACATAAAAGCTCATTGGAAGGCTTACTTATCTTTTTGCAATTTTTTCAATTTGAATAGTGCACCTATTAATCCACAAGATTTAGCCTGTTTTATTTGTTTTATGTCAAGATCATGTTATTCTTTCCAATATTTATCATCAGTCGTTAGTAGTGTTAAATTATTACATCAGTGCTATGGTTTCGATATAGAACCAACACAATTTTTGCAAATCAAGTCCATACTTAATGGACTACGTCGATCAGTTTGCATTGCACCCATTCAGAAGTTACCTGTTACACCAACTATCCTATTAGAAATTTATTCTGTATTAGATTTATCCAAGTCTTTTTATATGGTCTGTTGGACTTTGTTTTTAGTCGCTTTTTTCTCCTTTTTACGTAAGTCCAATTTCATTCCAGACACACTTAAGCATGCGAAAGAGAGCAAAGCACATTTTCTGCGTAGGGAAGCCATAATTTTATTGTCGGAAGCAGCTTTATTAATCATTCGTTCTTCCAAAACCGACAATTTCCAGGAACAAGAAGTTATTGTGCCACTTAGTGCCATGCCCAATAATATTTTATGCCCGGTTTCTGCTTTACATGTGATGTTTTCTCAAATTTCAGCTGAGTCTGATTCCCCTGTATTTGTTTATCCCAGTGGTACTGGATCCTTGCTCCCTTTAACTTATAATATTACTTTGAAAGTTTTTAAGTTATTGCTTAAGAGACTGGGTTATAACCCAGCTTTATATTCATTGCATAGCTTTAGACGGGGTGGTTGTACTTATGCTCATTCAATTGGAGTCGATTTGGAATCTATTCGCATTCATGGCAATTGGCGTTCTAATGCTTACCAGCAGTACATAAAACCTGATTTGCAACAGCAATTACAAGTTACCTCCCTTATGCTTAAAATGTGTTGTTAAATTGTTATATGTTGTCAGCTAACAATTTTCAATAGTCAAAGTTATTAATCTTTATTTATTCACATCATTACAAGTGGTTTGGGGTTTGTTTGGCCTTTTTTCTAATATCTTAACATATAAAATATAATTTGTCTTAGTATGGAAGTTAACATACAATTCATTTAGTTATTACATTGCAATAAATTATTTGCCCCAAACCACTTGTCTTTATTACAACATCTCAATTATTATATGGTATATCTATATGCTACATTATTTGTCAGATGACGACTTTAGAGTAATTCTTCATAATGACATTGACACACAAAATAAAAATCAAAAGAATCTGTAAAAAATTGTAGCCTGTAGAGTGAGCACGAGTTGCACAAAATAGCTAATAGAGAAAAACGTCAAGTCAGACACGATATTTCGGTGAAAAATTATCCGATCATCATGAAAATCAATAGGGATCATCTTCATAATGACATTGACACACAAAATAAAAATCAAAAGAATCCATAAAGAACTGTAGCCTGTAGAGTGAGCACGAGCCAAATGTGAACGGACGGACGGACCGGCGGGGTGATTACAATATACGCCCATCTTACGTGTGGGCGTATAAAAATCCACATACCTTCTTCAATCATTTTGGATTTTATTTTCATCCCTTCTTCAACATTATTTTATTATACATGTATTGTTAACGGAGTATTATGTCCATATTATTATTATTTCTTTCATTTGTTTTGGTATTTTTTATAATTTTCATGTTTTTCACAGAAAAGTCGATCATAACAAAGAAGCTTCTGTCACTTACAACAATGGCGGCACGAAGAACACTGTTCTAGCAATTATATTTTGGTATTCGGTTTTCTATCTCTAATGCCAGTGCAAAATATGTTTCCACATTTTCATGTGGGCGTATAAAAATCATTCCGTCTTAGACAATTTTAAAGTAATTGAAGAAATTCAGAATCAGGTCGATAAGGATTAGGTATTCTATCAAAACGTTTTTTGAATGAGTAACCCTCTTCGGTCTTGATCATTTTTCCTTAATGTTTCCTCATGACAGCTCGAGATTTTATTCCCAGAGTCCAAGTCATCCTGTAGACGGTCTGCAAGTTGAGAATATCCAGTTTGTTTTAAACATTGGACAAATGTCGGCAATGCCGTGTGACTGAATTTGTGGAGGATAGCCAATAAACATCTCAAAGCTTCTCGATTTCCCTCTGATCTCAATTTCGTTTTTATCACGTCCATATCATCCCAATCAATAACTTGTTTAGTATAGAGATAATCTATGATATCGTCAACTCGAATATCTCTCATAATACTCAGATAATTTTTCCTCAATACTTCCTCGTGCCAAGACGGGATTTTACCTCTTCGTTTTACATCATTCTTTTCTGAAATGACACGTCACAAAAGTAAAAATTTCAAAATTTCAAATCCCACCTTGTCATACTTAAATCCGAATATAACTCATACAAATGTCGCTAAGCCACGTCTATGTCTTTCTATGACACACCCTGATTGTTGAGGTTATTGGACCTCACCTATTTAAATACGAGTTCTTCTTCATACTTTAGTCTCAAAAACTGACATTTATTAGCAAAGACAATTTGAGCCTTCAAATCCATGTGTGTCCAGAATTATCCGCCTTTCAGTTCATCTAGATCTATCACTCGTCTTTGAAATAAAGAGTTGTATATATCTTTTGGTGTTATCTGTCTGACAAGTTCCTCGTGATTCTCTGTTAAAACAGCTTTATCAATTCTAGGTAGTGTTTCTCTGTACACTGGCATATTTAGTTGTAATATTTGGTCGTTATGATAACTAGATAAATAAATAATACAACTATAGGCTACATACGAGACTACTATAACAATATGAAAGAAAAAACGTAAATGTAAATTAAGGAGTTCGATGATCTAACATACTTTTTGAAACCGTATCACCCAGGCCTCCCCCTTCACTCACCCCCACCCCCTCTTCTGCCCTATTTCTTCCAGTTAAAAATATTTTCTCACCTCTTAAGATATGAATGTAGAATAGAAATAAAATGGCGTAACGGGAAGTAATATTCTAGTTTCGATATTTGAATAGGGGAGACCGGGGCTAGTTCGACTATGGGTAAGTTCGACATTCGTTGATAACTCGCGACTAACATTAGTTACTACCACGAACTCTTGGCGGTAGATTGCCGGACCCAGATCGACCGTTTACACCAAAATATGATTTAATGACCGAAAAAATAATTTTAGACCTGGTAAGTTTGGTAAGTGAAATTTTTCGGCACGAGAAGTGGTCTTACTAGCCCCGGTCTCCCCTATAAAGTGTAGGCCTTTGTATCAACCTTTTGTATTTTTTGTTTTCAACAATCCAATTTCAATGACTAAGTCAGGCACTCCTGTAATCCTAACCAAGCTAGACGTATAGGTTGAACAATCTTAAAGGGTCATTTCAGCATATATAGTGATATCTATATAGAACATGGACACCTGAGGCATTTTTATGCTGTCAAATCTGACTAACCAGCTGCCACACCCCACCCTCAAAAAGGATAAATGAATATTGATACTTTATGCCCCTAATGCCTTATGGGGTGTACATCCGACACCCCCCCCCCCCCCTCTCCCCTCCCTACGTCTATGAATTCATTAAAGGGACAGATTCGCCATCCGTTTGAACAATCGTAGCCTACCTTAATCTTAGAATCAATAAAAGTGTCACAGCTCTACATCGAAATTTGAGCCTTCAAATTCGTGTGTGTGTGATAAATGATTAGTCGTCTTTCATGACGTCCTTATTTCGTCTTTATAAAGAAAAGACACGAATTGCAATAGAAAGTGAAATTTCAAGTTTCCGGAAATTTTGAAAGAATACTACGATTTTCGTACATTTCCAGTACTTCTTAAGTGGCAAATCTGTCCCTTTAATTACCATCTGATTCGATATCATACAGAATAAATGTTGACATAATCGAATCAGATTAACTTGGGATAAAAACGACTCTATGTCTATAGAGATAATAGTAATCGATTACAGGGCAGTAACTATATTTCCAACTATACTACAGACAACACTGGTTTCTTTCAGTCATGTGACACGGCAGAAATTTTAGTGCATACAGTTCTATGTTCAAATTTTACACCCGGATAATCTATGGGTGGATAATAGCAGCAGCAATAACCACGCCCCAATTTTCAATTATCCAATACGCTAACATAATGTCCAATGTCGTCTATAAATGTGTATTTACTGCATTTATAAGTCGTCATTTGACAATGTCCCAATGGGCCAAATTCATATACATGTAAATCTTTTCTGTGCATTTTCTTACTTCAGCATTCATAAAATATAAGAATTTGCTTCCGTGAAAATCAAGAAAAAGCAGATTCTGGATATTAAAGATTAAGATCTAGTTTAAGAATCAGCAAAAAATACTAGTTCCCATATATACATAACCCTTGTCTTTTCCTTGGTGAAAGAATCATTTACTGTCAGATTTACAAGCTTCTAAATAACAGCTTGACATTCAAATTTCACAAGTACTTTGACTGTTATCCTCGTCTTCAGTTATATATATCCCAGGGAACATTCTAAGTTGTTCTTTTCAAGAGAATGATTTAAAGAAAATGATATAAAATATTTCTATATTGAAACTACTTGGACAATTACAAGCAGTATTTATAGTTATAGAGGGAAAAGATATAACAGACAGTATTTGTTAAACAAAATGAAATAGTGTGATTATTATTTAAACATGATTTGATCTGTATTTAGACCTATTATAGTTGTATATATATACTATAGACTGGAAGCCAAAATAAAAAATAAAAAATAAACTTAAAATTGAGTTTTCTCGAAAACATGATTTTGGACTTATCACATTTATGTTCTAACCCCTCGATATATAAAAAATAAAAAATAAACTACTACAATGGTAACTAAAAAGTTTTGTTCTGTTGTGTTTATAAATGTCTGATATAATCACTGTAGTGTATTTGTTAAACTTTGGTCAGTGATTCTGGTTCTCTTCCTGTTTGTCGAATTTTAGTTTGGTGTTTTTTTTTCTGGGTTTTTTTTTTTTTTTTTTTATCTCAGACGATATTTCTTCAGTTTTTCTGTCAAATCACTATAACCCGCGGATCCTAAACTGTCAATAAATTTATCTAAACCATCAGGTCCACTATAGTGTATTTTATCAAGAATTTTTTCAGCCCCAAAACGACGCCCCCGTTTCTCCTCTTGTTTAATTTCATCTTGATCATCATAATCTATTACACCTTTTTGAAGTAAATAGCTCATGATACGGCTGGGTATTAAACTTCTGAGCAACTCCTCTCGATTCTCTGTTAAAACAGCCTCATCTTTTTCAGGTATTCGTCCTCTATCCATCTTTTATTTAGGGTCCAAACTTGACTCTATTTTTGGTACGAAAACTATAAGAATAAATAATAGCCTACAACTCAAGCAATTTCCATCTCAATCCCTTTATTTATGGGCCAAACTTGATATATGTTGTCGATCTGTAGGAAACTAGATAAATAAATAATACAACTATATATAGATACGAGACTAATAATATGACAGAAATTAGTACAGTCGAGTAACCTAATTTCGTGGAAACCTATTATTCGTGGATTTCCGAAAATGATTAATAATTTACATGAGCGACATTGCGCGACCTCCGCATTAGTTTGTTTTGATAAACATGGGTTTTCTCTACAATGTCAGCTAGTAGAATGAATTCAGTAGTTTCAAGCAAGGTAAAATGTATTAATGTATACTTTGACAAATACAAAATGGCGGATTTCACTTATTACCAAACGTCACCATTTTTTATCGGCCGAATTTCCTTATAATCCCAAGCGGTAATCGGAATTCCAAGTGTCGTCTGCTAGAATATAATCCAACGAATGAAGTCACGTGATCAACAAGTGGATTTCGTGTCAGCAGAAAATTTATATGGAACACAAAGTGGAAATAAATCGAAATAAACCAATTTTCATTATTTTGTAGAATATCTGAGGAAACATCTAAGGCATAAAAATTTTTTTTCGTTTTTTTAACTTTGACGAAATTCGGTGTTGAATCCTTATATCCACGAAAATCGGTTACACCACTGTAGTTCAATTATCTATGACATACTTTTAGAAACCGTATCCCCTGACCCTTGCTCGGTCCTCACAACTAATGTTTTCTAGAAACGCCACTGCCCCAAACCCCTCGACCCCTCTTTAGCCCAATTCTTCAAGTTAAAAAGTTTTCTCACCCTTTAAAGACTTTATTTAGCCCCTCTCTCTCTCTCGATATTCAATCTAAAATGGCGTAACCAGGATGTTATTCTAGTTTCGATATTAAGTCATACTTTTTTATGATTAAACATGTTTCGTTTTGGAAACGTTGATTTTCAAACCATGATTTATGTTTATTACGTTTTTCATCTCAGTTAAAGGGATTGTAAAGACGTTTCCCAAGTGCATCAGGGACACTGCTAGCATTGATTAACACTACTCCGATTTTCACTAAATCTAAGTGTTTGATGACGTCACTAATCGCGAAAGGTGCTTTATTAAGGCCCCATACGAAACTATACGTATGGTTCTTTCATGGAATTAACACCCATGCTTTGATTGTTTGTTGTCCATTAACATTTGGTTCGTGTTTAGTCTATAGAGAAACTTTATTGTATCACATCATGGCCGGTTTTTATCGACGGACGACAATATGCATTCATAATACGCATGGGCATATAAAAATCAAAAGAATCTATAAAGAATTGTTGCTTGAAGACTGAGCAAAAAAAATTAGTTTTTCGTCCCTTCCCAATTTATTCCAATTTTGCCACTTCCCATAATGTACCTTCCCGACTCGCCCCAAATCTATTCTTATTTCGACAGGGCGAACTGGGAAAGGGACAAATTGGGAAGGATCAATATGGGAAAGCGGCAAATTAGCAAGGGTAGAAACGGAGAAAGGGCGTAAAGGGAAAAATTTAGGGGCGATATGGGATAAAACCAGTTGGTTTTACAGAAGATGGATGATTATTTATGATAAAGAAGATACATTTTTCCGTTAAAACAAAGTTATGCGTGTCAAAGATAATTCCAAAAGTTGTAATATTTCTTTACCTATAACCATAAAACCACTAATAATGTCCCATTGTTTCCATGCAGTAAAGAGATCAAATACAGAAGTCTGAAAGTTAGAGACTAGTATTGTTGTTTATCCCCTGGTACCTAAGTAATGCCAAATAGTGTCAAATTAAGCAAAGTATTTGATTAACTGGTGTTTCTAATGAATTAGCATGTATTCTTAATCATATCATTATGTTCTTATATTGCATATAATTTAGTGTTTTAACCAATCATAAATATCCATGTATGTACAGTCTGGATAAACAAAAAAAAGACTTTTTGACCTTTCTTGATCGGTCACTCATTGGAATTCTGCTGGTAATTCTCTTCTAATTTAGCTAATTATGAATTAATTATGGACACGCGAGACCAACGGGTATTTTTCAAAGTCATAAGAATAGATTAACATTTTCATTTTCATAAATGAAAATAAGGGAACCCATCTTTAAAAGGATGTCCCTTCAAAATTATTACATTTTGACAATGCAAAATGCACATTTTGACTAAACAATTTATATTTTTGGTTCATGGGTAGGTGGGGATGGGGGAATTTCCACCCTCAGATTATGGATTATAAATAGAATCAAAGACAGTAAAAGAGGACAAAAAACATCTGGATCTGTATTTTAGTCAGATTGTCTTCTGGATCCAAGTAATTTCTACATCATATAATATACATATTTATTCCCCTTTGTACACCTTTGATTTAGAAGGATTCAAAAGAAGTTTCTTACCCTTTGCATTGTGTTAGGGCATAGAACTATAATACTATTACAGTTCTAAGGTTAGGGCCACAAAAGGTTTCTATTTGTACCATTACATATTCCTATCTAATATTGCCAAATCATCCAAAATAGTTTTTGCAATTGTAACAACATAATCTGAAATTTGAGTTAAGAATGTCTCTTATCAATTTTAGTTTGATTGTCCAAATAGATTACTTTATCCAAGTAAAGTTTTCAAGGATTGGAACTTATAAGGGTACAAATGGAACCTGTATAACATCGTGTCCATACCACATCCCCATTCATCATACTTCTTCCAGTTAATAAAACAATGTCGTAACCTGTATTCTGGATACAAAGCCTGTATAAGTGTCCATAAAATTTAAAAATTTTAAGCTCCCTTGAATCCCTTAATAATACCATGATTTAATTAATAACTACCCGCAATCTCTTATCAATTAAAACTAGCAGACCTTTACATTACTCAAATCTTTGGTCCCATCTGCGTAATTGGAATCATTCTCAAAACATTGCCTGTATACATAACACTAAATTCATCCATTCTGTTCCTTATACTCGAAAACTTAGCTACTGGTGATATAAAATCTGGATTTTAACAAATACTGTTATCTGATTGGATAGTAAAATGGAGTATAAAATCGATTTTTGTGATGGACCAATCACGTGACTGGAACATTAAAATCCTTTTTAGTTAAGTTTTCAAGAATAAGGCCGCAGATAATTTTTGTTATGTATACTGTGGGTTATTGTCCACTGCCTTATTTTCAATATTTATCACAATAGCTTGTAGAATCCTGAATCTATCACTACGACATTCCATCATACTGACATAGAGCTATGATCTGAAAATATACAATATAAATGAATGAATAAATGAATGAATAAATGAATGAATGGATGAATGAATGAATGGATGAATAAATGAATAAATGGATGGATAAATGAATGGATGAATTTTACTTAAAATATCAGAGATGGAAAAAGAGACAAAATCTAATATAATTCTATTAACTACTCTCTAACTACAGGTTGTGTTATCCTACCTTGTCTTTAAGTTGCTGACATTGCTGTAAAGCAAGTGTAAAAAACACGATGGCTTCATTCAGCCACTGGACCACTGACTCTACCTATAATAAGTAAGGAAGTAAGTAAGTAAGTAACTTTATTAAAGTCTCACCAGTTATATATAAAAAATATATACAAATAAAACACAACACTATTCAACTGCCATTCTGTTAAGAATTATGAGAGACATGTCATCATTATTAAAACATTGTTATCACAGGTCCGGAAATTTATAATATAATAAAACTCAATAAAAACAAATATAAATACAAATATTAACGTAAAAATAGTTCTATTAATTTTACATATAAACGTTTCAATTTTACTCTGAATTCAGGTTGACCGATAAAGGGTACATTTTCTATGTTTTAAAATATCCCAGCAAGTTTTGGCGGTTAATTGGTACATTTCAGGGTGGGATAAAAGGAAACACATTTTGTCTTGATCGGTTAATGAATCAAAATTTGGGAATATATTTTTGGAATCAAAATTTGGGAATATATTTTTGGCTTTTCTAGTGCAAGTACTTCCTAAGTTGGTGTATAATGGGCATCTTAGGAGACAATGTTCTTCATCTTCCACGGTATTAGGGCAATTAAAACATGTTCTGTTTTCAATGAGGATGTCTTCGTATCTACCTGTTTCTATGTTTCTATAATAGTAGACAATAATCAATACTGTCTGTATGAAAGTATTTAGACCTGATAGGGACCGAGTTTAATAAATATGCTTTACTTGGATCCATGTGTATTCACAAAAATGTGTGTATTTTGGGGGAAATCCACTGATATTTGAATATTTACAATGTATTATAAGCCAGTCTATGTAACATCATCAATACAATTTCATCATCAGACTATTGTTAGAAAATATATCTAGTTGCTCCAGAAAAATCAAGGTTTTTTTTGAAGAATTTGAGTAGAAAAGCAACAAGTAAAAAAGCTGTTTCCAATCTAGTTCTGTGGTGAGGATTTTGACAGCATGCAATTAGAAGATACAGATTCCACTTCATCATATTCCAATAAACAGTGTTTTGGAAAAGATTTCAAAATTCAGAAAGTTAATAACCATCACATCAGTCCCAAACAGTAATACAATATCACAATCCAAACACACTGACATATTATTACAATAACTTACAACAAATAGTGTTTTCATTAAACGATTTCAAAATTGAAATAAAATGAAATGAATGGAGTTTTACGTCCTACTTTTCTGCACCATGTGGGCTAATGAAGACTGGTAACGCCATGCAGGGTACAAGGAATGAAATTTTGCGAGGACAGCAGCATAAGCCTGCTCTTTTTCGATTTCCAACTGTCGAGGGATCTTTAATGTGCACAGGCTGTAGCACAGGGCTAGGTTTATTGTCCCATCCGAATGACTAGGCGCTTTTTCCATGTCAGCCCCTCTTACCTGCATCACTGACAAGGGGAAACCGGGTTGAAAAATTCGAAGATATGACTTCAACTTTGAGAAACGTATTTAACAAGTTGACTTACCTGAAGTCTTGCTGTTATTTCTATTTTTTGTTGACTATTGGTATGTAAGTGGTACATGGCCAGAATCAGTTTTGATGCATGAATATAAAAAGACAAGGCGACGTCGTTTGGAAGGGCAGGATGGAATATTTGCTGGAAAAAAATTCATTTTCAATAACTTCTCTTGTTTCAAAAACTTGAAAGTAGGACTGGGTAAAATGATTGAAATAATCGATTATCATCGCTAGGAATTTATCATTTCAATCATCGATAATCAAATTTCATAATCGATTATACGTCCCTAGTTACATTGTCTCCACCGTTCCAATTAACAAGTAGTAATCTCTTCCACATAGTTTCCCTTCAGTACATAACATACACACAATAAACTATAATAACTGATCAAAGCAAGAATATACTTCTATAACACAAAAATTACCCATAGAACTTAAAAGTTTGACATGATTTTAATTTAGTATTTACAGGGTTTCTCAATTGAAATATTTTGATTATTAATAGATTATTGATCAGTAGTCTACCATCGATAATTAATCTCAATTTGGTAATCGATACCCAGCCCTACTTGAATGTGGAACATTATATTATAGCATTTGGCTGGTCAAATTTGTTAATTCTCAAGTCTTGAAATAAAACTTTGAGGAAAACTTCTCATCAAATGGATTGGCATCCCTCTTGAAACACTGAATATTTCACAATAATACACAAATATCCATTTTCTCTTTCTCAATTTTCATGATCAAGAGTTTTGGGATACAAATAACAGAACATCATCTCTAATAATAGCACAAACATTCACAACAAACTTGGGACCTTGGCCAGTGCTTTTATAGGAGTGCATCATCTATAACACTCAATACCAAGTCTTCTGTGACTAACAAAAATAAAACTAGATACATAATGAATCATACGTAATGGCTAACCCATACTTGATGTCCTATAGAGGATAATGATGCTAGGACATTTGAACTGTCCTGTCATTCATGTCTGGAAAATAGAGCCAAATCAACAGCCCTGATACATACCATATTTTTATTGGAGATTAGGTCCGTTAGTGATTTACGTTTCGGCATCGCAAGACTCGTTCTACATTTCATTAAACATGCCATCAATTCTTCTAGTAACTGCAAAAAAAAAACATCAGCCATTTCGAATCCAGAACAAGGCTCATAATGCAAATCAAAAAAGTCTTGCATTTGATGCTTAGAGAAAAAGGCGTAAATAAGGTGTAGGTGGGGGTTATCTAGGACTCTGTCTACTAGCTGACAGTTCTTTGCTAAACCTCTTAGTATTGATTTTCTAAGGATAACAACTCAGGATCTCTCGGATCCTTTGCAATCATTTTATAAGGATAACAACTTAGGTTCACAGGGATTGTCAACTCCACCCTATTTTTAGCAGATCTCTTTATTTGTGACCTCAGCCAGTGCCTTACATAGTAGTTTCTATTAACTTCCTCATTCCTAATACTAGCTTGGTTAGTCCTCTTGACAATCATTCTGTCTAACAGCTAATCTACAACATTTATCTTGGTGGATCTTTTAGTTCCAGCTCTAACTTTTCTCTTATACAAAGAAAGACAACTCACCAATAAAACTTCCTGAGCAGATTTAAATTTATAATTCGGGTCAAGATCACCAAGAATATTCTGGGCATTACACAAATGGTTTCCAGCATCTTGTACCTTAAATAATTCATGGTCAACATCATAGTTAATATATATGTAACCTGCAGGATTTTAATATCTATTAACACATTTTTGGAGAACTGTATGAAAGGTGGTTTCCAGCATCTTGTATCTAAATATATTCTAATTTATGTCAAGGTTTATTTGATATCCTTTTTTTGTGATGAGCAAGCACATGGTAGCACAAAAAGAACTATTTTACAATAGACAATATTAAAATGTCTGAAGAATAAAGGGAGATAATCTATAAGGCTTGAAGACTAAAGGGAGACAATTGATAGGACTTGGAGACTAAAGAGAGACATTTGATAGGACTTGAAGACTAAAGGGAGACAACTGATAGGACTTGGAGACTAAAGGGAGACAATGTAAAATATCAAATATTTTGAAGGCTAAACTGAGACAATCGAAAGGACTTGGAGACTAAAGGGAGATGATTCATATAATAACAGACTAAAGGGAGATAATTTACCTGTTGTAATTTCCACTGTCTATCAGGATGAAAACTGGTTTTAAACAAATGATTCTGTTCTTTTACATGTTTATGTTTAAAATTGATATCCTGTAAAAAACAAAATAAAAATATTACATAAAATATCATGTGTATATAATATGAGGTAGCCCCAGAGTTGACAGCAGTAGAGTATCACCAATAGCCTTCATTAGAGCAAGAAATGAACTTAAATAAACAATATTGAGTTATGAGGGCTTTTTGAACCGATACAGAGTTTAAAGATAGCTTGCCAGGCAAGGTAACATATGCCCACTGGCAGCTGTCAGAAATGATTAAACAGTCTTTAGTGACTACAGGGTTGCACAATATAGCTAATAGAGTGAAACGTCAAGTCAGACACGATATTTCGGTGAAATATTATCCGATCATCGCGAAAATCGATAGGGATCATGCTCATAATGACATTGACACACAAAATAAAAATCAAAAGAATCTGTAAAAAATTGTAGCCTGTAGAGTGAGCACGAGTTGCACAATATAGCTAATAGAGAAAAACGTCAAGTCAGACACGATATTTCGGTGAAAAATTATCCGATCATCACGAAAATCAATAGGGATCATCTTCATAATGACATTGACACACAAAATAAAAATCAAAAGAATCCATAAAGAACTGTAGCCTGTAGAGTGAGCACGAGCCAAATGTGAACGGATGGACCGACGGGGTGATTACAATATACGCCCATCTTACGTGTGGGCGTATAAAAATGCAGATGCACAGATGCACAGTGGCATCAGGTATTGGAGGAGAGTGAGCATGCCCTGCCCATACCGACCGACGGACGGGGGTGCCGACAATATACGTCCACATAGAGAGATGTGGGCGTATAAAAATCATGACTAAAATAAAACTGAGATTATTCTACTTACAGCTTGTGATACACTGTCACCACGTAATGTTATAACACATTTAATTTGACTTGAACTACTGAAAATATTTCAACTTTATATTATTCACAGCTTATAATAGATTGTAAAGAGGTAATCTAAACTTTTTATGTGTATCAGGGACATCGATGGCATGGATTTGCACCATTTGGATTTCAGTCCAAGCTCTATGGTTCTTGCAATTCTACTTAAACCAACCATTTACGGCTCAAATATCAGTTCTAAAAATTCCATACGAACAATCCTCAATTTTATCATTCTCAAAAATTCATTTCATACTTCAAATAAAATTGTTTTTATCCAAGTCAAAATTCAGATCTTTATTCTGAAAAAACTTTTAAATGTAGCCAAAAAATAATAAAAAATAAAATAATAAGATAGCTTACTTTGGACTTGATAAAATCATTCGTTGTGCTCTGATATCACTGTCTGGGACTGAAAAACAGATTACAATATCCTGATACTTTTACGGTACAAGCAGATGGGTATTTAGGGGGTGAGAAATTTGACAATGCCCTTCCACCTCAGGCCCATAAAAGGTCAGATTTCAAGTGGAAATGCTCTACATTCAACAGAAATATGTTGGCTTCTGGCAATCCCCCAGACTTGTAAGTGTAGTTTGTCTTCAGGAATTCTGGAAAATTTTATTACAATTCAATACAAATTCAGTTTAAACAACAGAACACAATTTTATGTTAATATTTACATGAAGTGATCTCTATCCCTTAATGTCGCTATGGATTTTCCTCAAATACATTTTCCTCTTTTATCCAGATGACGATTTCCACCAGTTTTTTTTAGTACATGTATAAACAGTATTTTACTCAGTAACTTAAGGGGTTTGAGAAACAGGCTATGTAGCCATTCTGCTACCAAAATTGGTCCCAGTTGATTTGTTAAATATTCAGATCTGTCCATCTAGATATAAATGTGTTCGATGCATATCAAAATATGTTGAATAGAGCTTTGACTTTGAAAAAACAACATCAGTATATTAGGTCAAAATTAAAATGAAAGAGTCTTACTTGCTCTGGTTTGGACTGGAAATCTCTCGCTGCATTCCTACAAAAAATATATCAAAATTTTGATTATGTTATGAATGAGAAATGATTGCAACTTTAAGGATTTAAAAGATTTTCAAAATATCTGCTGGTTGACTGGAATAATGAAGTGAGATCACATGACATGAGAATGACAGCACAATTTCAACCCTTTCCATGACTGAACCTGAATAAAAATTGATAGAGTCACTACCAAGAGCCTGTTTCTCACGATCTTTAACCTTAGAGTTCTAATCAGTTGGTGAGTTGATCATGAAACTTTCTATTTTCGTAAGTCTTGTGAAACGAAACCCTGTCCTAAAAGTAATTCAAAAAATAAGACCTTGACTATGTCTACATTCCATCGAATTCCTCAGGACAAAACAAACAAGATAGAATTATTCCATGAGCCTATTAATTAATGATTTAAAATCTGAAATCTGAACAAAAACTAAGAACAGGAGAAAAGACCTATATTTTGAATGACATCCTCACGAAAAAACCCGTAAAATCAACAATTCAGAAACGTTCTCTAAGTCTAGGAGTTAATAAATAATAAGTTAATAAGTTATTAGTTTAATTCTGATCGATACCAATCTTTCATTCTTTCTTTCTCTATTTATCTAATTGATTTTCTATCTTCATAAATACATAATCCATCAATCAAAACAAGTTTCAGTACAATAAGTATTGTGTCTAATTTGACATGCTCAAGCTTCCAGAACACCTGATGTCACTGTTTGACTGTGCTTGCCAACAATGTTTATTTGGCGCTGGGATTTCATAAAAAAAAATTTTCAATTCAAGATGGACATGTAGAGGGTCAACAAAATTTCCCCCATTTGCAAGACATTTAGCGCATGAATACACCAGTCCCTCTTTTTGTTTGCATCACATAATCCCAGCGCTGGAGAGGGAAGAAATTTGATTGGTTGGTAATATCAAGGTATATGGAGAGGTGTTATGAATCAGTCTTATTTTACTTAGACTGTTACTGTTAGTTGTTAGGCTTGTCAATGGTTGTCTCATTATTTTCATACATTTAACAGGATTCTTAATTCATTTGTTCATATCCAAATAATAGTAGGATAATTTCTCTCACTGGCAAACGCCAGCAAGTCTAATCTAAGACTTATATCAATAGTTACTTATTTCAGGACTGGTGCCATTGCTATATACAGTATATTATATAACATGCAGTGTATGTTTGTGTGTGTCTTTTCAATTAATGTCATACTAATGACTAACTAATTTTCACATAATTAACAAGCTTATCTATTGCTCTTAAGGCCAGCTGGTAGACAGGATCCTCAAGAACCTTAGTTGTTATCCTTGTAAAATAACAAACTTAAGGCCAGCTGGTAGAAAAAATCTTCAGGATCAAAAATCTTAGTTGTTATCCTTGTAAAATAACAAACTTAAGGCCAGCTGGTAGAAAGAATCTTCAAGATTAAAAATCTTAGTTGTTATCCTTGTAAAATGACAAACTTAAGGCCAGCTGTTAGAAAGAATCTTCAAGATTAAAAATCTTAGTTGTTATCCTTGTAAAATAACAAACTTAAGGCCAGCTGGTAGAAAGAATCTTCAGGATCAAAAATCTTAGTTGTTATCCTTGTAAAATAACAAACCTTAGGCCAGCTGGTAGACAGGATCCTCAAGAACCTTAGTTGTTATCCTTGTAAATTAACAAACTTAAGGCCAGCTGGTAGACAGGATCCTCAAGAACCTAGGTTGTTATCCCTGTAAAATAACAAACTTAAGACTGGCTGGTAGACAGGATCCTCAAGAACCTTAGTTGTTATCCTTGTAAAATAACAAACTTAAGACCAGCTGGTAGACAGGATCCTCAAGAACCTTAGATGTATTCCTTGTAAAATAACAAACTTAAGACTGGCTGGTAGAAAGAATCTTCAAGATTAAAAATCTTAGTTGTTATCCTTGCAAAATAACAAACTTAAGACTGGCTGGTAGAAAGAATCTTCAAGATTAAAAATCTTAGTTGTTATCCTTGTAAAATAACAAACTTAAGACTGGCTGGTAGAAAGAATCTTCAAGATTAAAAATCTTAGTTGTTATCCTTATACAATATTTTCCATTACTAGTATTTCATTCATTCCTGCATTCATTCAATTTGATTCTTTTTTTATTTGTTGGATTATTGATTTTCTATCAATCTCTCTGTATTACAGAACTAACAAAGCTATTAATATCTAGTAGGTTAAATTCTCTAGTTTATTAACCAATTAAAGAGAGTTTAAGACTAAATACATCATTAAACTGAGGTTTATTTCTAATGACTGACATCGGATTTCTCAATAAAAAGATCAGTTTTTCCAATTCAAAGATTATGAAAGAAATTCTATTTTTATGCTTGGACAACCACAACACTCTCAAATTCCCCCTTTTCTTTAATGTCAAGGGACAAGTTTGATAGATTTGGGTATGGATTGGACCTATAAACACAAGAATATCTTTTTGTTTTGTTCTCTACGAACGTCAGGACTAAGTAACGTGACGCTCGTCACCCTCTAGCCCACATTCCAATGTGGTTTTTTTTATTTTACTAATCATGTAGATTCAACGTTCAATGACTTTTGATTAATTTGCGAGTTACATTCTATTACATCTTAAATTAACAGTTCCGATTCAAATATGGATTCATCCTGAAGCCTGGATTTGTCATGCTCCAGTGAGATTTAGTAGCTCTGTTTTCCTAGCTATGTAGATTCAATATTCAATGATTTTAAATTTAACTACAAAATACAATCAATGACATTGTAAACTAACAGTTCAGGCTACGTATTCTCGAAACGCTCTTAGCACTAGGATATCCTAGGTTCTTATATTCTAACATTGATTCTAGGATATCCTAGGTTCTTATCTTCTAACATTGATTCTAGGATATCCTAGCGCTAAGATCGTTTCATAGATTGGTTTTTATCAACTTTTGGATGGTTTTTAGCTGTGCTAAATGTTAATTTGCAAGTTACATTCAATTACATTGTAAATTAACAACTAGATTCATATATTGGTTTTATTCACTATAAAGAAAAACTGTTAATTTATCTGATTTATATTCTATACTGTAGCATTGATTTAACAACAAAAGTCAACAGTTCTGTAATAGAAATGAAATGAATGGAATAGTACATCCAATTGTTCTGCACCTTATCGGCTAATGAAGACAGGCAACGCCATGCAGGGTGCAGTGAGGGAAATTTTGCCAGGACAGTGGCATTAGCCTGCTCTTTTTCGATTTCCAACTGTCAAGGGATCTTTATAGTGCATAGCCTGTACAACGGCGGGCATAGGTTTATTGTCCTATCTGAACGACAAGACGATTTTTTTTAATTCAGCATTCACTGACAGGGGTAACTGGGTTAAAAAAATCCAAAGGTATTATCGCGACCTCTGCCTGGATTGAACCTTGACCTTCAGGTTAACATGAAGCATGTAATGCGAATCCCAGCTGTAATTGTAAGAGAAATATATTCATTATTATGTAACAGCTTTTATAAGTAGATTGAAAGATTATTATGAATATTAATCTGAATACAACAAATCAAACTAGAAAACTAGAAGTAGCACAGATATTTCAAATGAAGTTTGAATAACGCTTTCAAAAAGTATTGATAGTCTTTGAATGATTGTAAAAATCTTCACCCAAATTTAACAATAAAAATATGAGGACAGTATTAGTTATTATTCTTAATGAAATTATGCCTTTATAGAAATAACATTAGTTTGTTACTATGTATCAATTGTAGAGCAATAGAGAACAACATGTTTTGTTAGGTTGAGTTTTATTATTTCTATTAGATTATCACAATATCAATCTGAACATAATCATGATACCATAGTCAGAATACAATAAAATCTAAATTTATCCTAACAACAATAATAATTATTATATTTAATGATATCTGTGTTATGGTGTGAAAAGATAATAAAAATTTATTCAAATAAGTTAAAGCAACATCTGTTTTTAATTAGACATCACAGATTACTGATAATAATATTATTAAATTCTTTAAAAATAGATTAAATCAGATATTGTCAATACAGCCCACAATAATATAAACACAAAATATTTAATCCGATTGGCAGTTGCTCCATTATCAGGGGTTGATTTGGCTGTAAATATAAGTAAATAGTCTTCAGAAGTTCTAGAAATGTACGATAATCAGATAATATCTTCCTAAATAATATGAACTAGTAATATAACGTTCTATGATTGGTCGAACGAATGGGGCACCTGTTATATTTTCACTGTCATTATTATTGTATATATATATATAGATATGGTTCTCTGAATAGCCTCAAATATTCAGGTTAAAAGACTGAGGTCTGGCCCTGGGGGCAGCAAACCTTCTTTCATACTTATGCTGAGATTTTACGCAAAATTAAAGAAGTTTTTACAGGTCCCTAATGCTTGTATCAAAGAAAAACAATATCTCAATCTATTCCTAAGGCACAACGCTTCTGGCTTTATTACTTTATCTTTTTGTGTGGGACATTAAGAATTTGACATCAATTTTCAATATTTGTTCTTTTCTTAGTGTGATGGTCATAATGAATTAGAGTAAAAACTAAGATCAGCATGAAAAATGTTTTGTGGCTATGAGATCTTGACAAGTGTCTCGGATGATGGTCAAGTATCAGTTATCATTTGCCAGTCATGTCTGATTGGACAATATTTATCTATGACTGCGTAATTTCTTTCTCTTGTATAACCAGTTACTACAGTCTCAAGGAAGTGTAACGAGTGGAGATGTGGTTTGTACACGATGGGTCTGATCCAAAATTCTTTTTGTTCACTTTTTATGAATATTTCACATATTTGGGGTAGACAGACTTTTAATTTTCAAATTCGCACAACAAAATGTCAAGCAACAATACTACTTAAAAAACAACTTTTTATGTAAAAATATGCGAAATAAAGTAAAAATACCTGTAATGTATGTTTAATATCTTCTAAAACATGATGTACCTCCTCTCTCAGTAACCATGACAACTCTTTTTGCTGAAAATAAACAATACAGATACATATAATCCTTATAAGATATTAGAATTAAGTCTTCTTTTATAGTCAATACCTTTACTCCAGGGGTTTTCAACCTTTTTCTTTATATTACTCTTTCCATATGCGTTTCTAAAAATCATTCGACAATGGGGCTGAGTAAAGGCCACAGAATTGACAAGGGAGCCACCAGACAATTTTCCTCTACATCCAATGATAAGAAATTTGAAAGTTGGCGGCCAAAGCCAGCTTCTAGAAACACCACTGACTCCTTTCTGCATCCTTGATCGATTTTATATCCCCCCCCCCCCACTCTATAGGCAAAATCCTTTTGAGTAATTAAGGCTGATATGATAACACCTTACATAGACATAACATAAGACTGATGATCATAACTTGTCATAAGATGCGGAAAGAATAGAAAACTTTGCAGTCTAAATTATAAATAAATGGGAGTCAAGTCTATGAGCATGTAAATATTTGACACAGAAATCCTTAATCACAATGAACAGTACATTGTTTCATTTTTCTCTCCATTTTTCCATTTGACACATATTCATCTTTATCTATGTCGGCCTGCAGCCTTTCTGTTAACAACTACGCAAGTAAAGAAAACCTCTGAATGCATATTAACACATTGTGACAGTCTTTCAGGTTTTAATTTTTACTTTTACGCGAATCCATGGCAAGAAATCCTTCACAAAAATATGGCAATTTGATCAATACATTCTCATGCATCGATCTGACATAAAAACATCAAGAAATATTCCGAAAAACAGAAATAAAAGACATTTTACTTACAAGAACAGAAAGCTCGACTTGTTCTGTGGTCGCCATGTCGGGATTTAACTGGGTCAAAGTGTAAAGGTCATTGTGTAATATCTCAATACGGTGGCTTGGTTTAGCCGCATTGGCCTTTTGACCCAGTTTTATCATTTGGGTCAAAAATGGAACTTTGAGTTTAGATCAGAATGAAGGAAATAAATGAATAATATTTTCTATACTGCGAAAGATTAAATCTTTAATTTGAATATTGTTGAACTATTTGGTTGGTTGGTTTGATTTATTTACTCTTATTATTATTGCCATAATGGCCCCCTTTTTTGTTAGGGCAAGAGGGCAATGTTTCTGGCCCCACCCACCGTTGAAATGAGAATAATATCTGTATAATCTAAATGTCACTTAGCTGGTATTATAGTAATAAATTGAATATAAATATGTCTGCATTAGACACATTCTAATGATAATTGGACCTAGAATTCTTTCAAAGTATTGAGTGGGGACCAAAAAAAAAAAAAAAGAGGGGGGAGGTGGGGATTAGGTGCAGGTGGCTTATAGGTCAGTTTTGAATGACATAATGCCTGTCTGTAAAATTTATAAGACTCTTATGGTGTACCATACTTATATAACCCACAGAAAAAAAATGAAACAAAATATGCCTATTTATGAAAAACACCTTAGACCCTTTTTGGTTAAGGATAGGTGGTTGAAACAAGGATATCATCTGAATCATTGTATCACAAATACTGGTTTTGACATGGTCTTATTAACCCCAAGGAAGTATGACGAACGGGGATGTGTTATGAACACGATGAATCTGAATAAGAACTTGCTCCCTTCCAATTTCCACAGCATTTTTTTCTGCCCATCTAACTTCCCCCCCTCCACCACCACCATTTCTGTAAACAGGGAGTACAGTGTATATATATATTAAATGTAATATTATAGAATATTAATAGAAGGACTGGAATTCTGAAATAATAATCAATTACCCCTAGATAGTGTCAGTATTATACTTCATTCTACCTCCATTATCTCAACTATTTACATAGTCACAAACATTCAGGGATTGTAATTTCACTAAATTTGCCAGTCATTTTTTATTAGAGTTCTAAAAGAGCCTGTTAAGAATGAATTACCCCTAGTTTACCCCTAGTTAATCAATTTACACATGGCTGGTAGTCAGAAACATTCAGGGATTGTAATTTCACTAAATTTGCCAGTCAAGTTTGATTAGAGTTCTAAAAAAGGTTAACTACAGTTCTAAAAGAGCCTGTTTAGAATGGATTACCCTTTGTTTATAAATTTACACATGGCTGGTAGTCAGAAACATTCAGGGATTGTAATTTCACTAATTTTACCAGTCAAGTTTGATTAGAGTTCTAAAAGAGTCTGGTAGTCTGGAATAACAAACAATTACCCCTGGTTTATTGTCTATGTCAGAAATATTCAAGGATTGTAATATTTCAATAAATTTGCCGGTCATGTTTGATTGGACCTGTATGAGGTCAGGTATGATTGGAATAACAACCAATAACTCCCTATAGTTAGTGTCAATATCATATCAATCAGCCTTTATTAAATAAACTATCTTATTTATTATACAACTTAAACTGAATATCAGGGATGCTGATTTCACAGAATAAACCAGTTAAGTCTGATTTCAACTTCAAAATGACTAACTAAGAAATTGATCTTTCGAAAGTCAGCCTAATGTCAGAACCATAATAACTGTAATAATAATCAATATCAGGGATGCTGAGTTCATTAATTTGTCATGCTAACAGTCATGACTGATAGGAGCTCCAAAATGACTGTGTGTGAATCTTAAACAATCAGTTTATTGTCAGAGTCACCATTTTAAAGGTTAGCAAGTTGGTGTACACATGTGGCTGATTAAAAGTAGCTCAGTAAGTTTGATAGCCTGAGGAATTTTCATCCCCAAGATCCACTTGTCAGTGATGCAATTAGCATGAGCATCAAATCTTCATGGGACAAAAAACCAAAGAAGTTAAGTACACTGTCACGAATAATTTATTGGAATGAAAGTATTAATAAACATATATCTAGAAAATATAATATACAGTCTTCTAAACCATAATAACTGACTCCAATGACAATACATGGCTTTCTGAAACATATAGAAATATAACAAATTAAACACATAAATAATCTTTTCCTCATCTCATGCTGGTAACAAGTTTTAGATATATAATCTTCATCAGGACAGCTAGGCTAGAAGCGTGTAAAATTTCTGTTTTTGTTGAATTTTTTTAAATTTGAATGTTAACGTTCAGAAATCATTTCAACAGATCAAAAGTTGCATTGGAATTTGTCGTCTGTTAGATGATCAGGTGCTGTGGGCAAAATTCAGATGCCTGTGCCAGTGCTTAAGAGAGTTGGCCAGGTGTTGGCTTTCATCCCCTAATACCAAGACAAATTCCAAATTAATGCCCCTACCTGAGTTGTTAAAACTTGATGTAACGTAGATATAAACAATAATTTATGTTGATTGTACGATAGTAAAGTATAAAGAATATCTAAAATAGAGATATACTTTCTCCAGATTGATATACTTTCTAAACTGTAAACTTCAGGTACTGATTTTAACCCTAAAAATAAAGAGAAAACTGGACATGAAGGACTAAAATGAAATTTAATCAGCTGTTAAACTATTGTATTACTTGAAACACAGTGTGGCTACCGTTTGATTTTTTTTATGTCCTTATACATGTTCAAGACTATGCCAACAATTTGTTGGATTTGGTTGAAGTGAGGTGTGACAAGGTGTCAATGGATATATGTCTTTTCTATATATCACAGAGTACCTTATCTTGACGAGTCATCATTTTAACTTTCAAATGCAGATAATTCTGGACACACATGGTTTTGAGGGCTCAAATTTCGACAGTGAGCTATGAACACTATAACTGATTGGCTTAACTAAATTCCGTTTCTGAGAATAAAGTGTGATTGGTCAAAATAATTACGCACCTGTCCCTTTAATTATTCAAAGACAAGCTCTAATGTTAACTGGGACTGACAAGATAATAACAATGACTCACTTTCTAATTTTCTAGTATCATGGAGTATAGATTGTAAACAATAAAATAGTTCGCCATGATTTCTGTGTCCACTTACACCATAATAATCAAATGTTAAAATCTGAAAAAGAAAAAAAATATTTTGTTAAAAACTATAATAAAAGCTATGACAAAATGTAAGATAAAAAGCGAAAAAGTTTGAAGGGTTCAAGTTGAAATCTCAAGAAGAAGACTTTTAAATAAGAAATTTCCGCTTGAAAATTTAGACAGGTTTATAGGATGATCAGACGACATTTGCAAGAGAATTTGACACACAGTTTTTTAAAAATAATTCTATAGAATTAAGAAATAACAGTTTTATGGATATAAACTTCTACTTATTATTTGAACACCTACATACTGTTTAAATAATATATAGAAGTCTATATCCATAAAACTGTTGTTTCTTAATGTGCTGTGATATTTCTAAATGTCTTACAAAGATTAAATTTTGTAGAAGTAAAAATAGAATGAGTAGATAAATCTTACTATATCTGGTGTTGTTTTATTGATGATATTAATGATTTCATTACTAACGACGTCTCTATCCCAGTGTACATCACCATCATCAGGTATTTCTCTATTGATAAAAAAAAAAATGAATAGAACTGCTTAAAGGTGGATTTTGAAAATAAAAATACCAATACTTATATGAATAGAAAGTAGAGATGTGCTAATAACTTTGAAAAATACCAGTTTGTCTCACATGTCCATAATCAATTCATAATTAGCTAAATAAGAAAATTAATAAAAAAAATATATATTTTTATTATTTGGTAAAAAAGGTGAGAACATAGCTCAAGTTAAATAATTGAAAAGAAAAATGTTCAAAAGGAGCTTCTTATACCCTGAAAGCTATTTTTTTCAAAACTCGCATACTTTTTATCTATAATATTGACACCATCTGACTTGATCCCAAAAACTTCAGCACTTTTAACAAGTTCCCCTTTTCTTATATTACCAATATTATAGAAGTTTCCTGCAAATACAGAATCAATGTTTACTTGATATCTAGGCAAGATGGTGATTATGCTCTGAGAGAACAACTTGGACTTTGAGTACCGGTACTAGGCCTCTACCCAAAGCTTTTACTATAGTTGTGGACTTCTAGCAGAACTAAAATGCACGACAGCACACATGCTTAAGTAGGGCAACCACTCTTATGACATGACTATAAAAGTTTGTGCATCATGTGGTGTGCGTTTATAATATTGTGATTCCTATTAATCTTATAAATAGTAAGGGCACAGGCTAAGCATTTTTAAATATTGACAGTAACCCTACAATATACCTGAAGTCAGACACAATATGCTGATTTCATTATCCTCTATCAGAGTTGTTAAGGCTGGACCAAAAAACATACATTCATCGTCAGGATGAGCAAAGACAAGCAAAATATTTTTTGATTTGACTTTTGATGTGAAACGCTTTCTTAGGAATGCAAAATAGGTCACAGAAATATAACAGACGATCGAAATCACAGCAAAATAAAGGAAAGTCGTTTTCAATTGTGGAAATATATCATTTAGACTTTGAAAATTGATTTGAGAAGACATTTTCCACTTTTGATTCTGTTTGTTTACAAATTTTGAAAATTCATGGGAGCTGCCATTTTGTCATAAGTAGGTCCAATGTCGTTAATAAAATAAACGATTTATAATTGGTCAAAATATCCTTTCCATTTGATTTCTTTAATCACTTTTTAGATAATTTCCAAATAGAAAGTATGATCTAGGCAAATAAGAATACTTATTGAAGATAATATAGAACCGGAAGTCATAAAATATTACGACAAACAAAATAAAGTAGAACAAAAACAATGCTGCTTAGCAACGGCGTCATGAAAGGAGCTTGAAAGTCAAATTTTGTGAAAGTATTCATTTTTCTCGCCTTTTGTCAGTTAATTCTTCATTGAACAACTAAATTTGAAAATGTCTGACAAACCAGCATCCCCGGAAGTGCCGCCACAATCTGAAACAGAAGCAAAAGAGGCAAATAAAACTAGTGAAAATGGTGAATTTGAGAACTCAACAGCTGTAACTGAAGAAAATATTAAAGTTGAAAATGAACAGAGCGAAACTGTCGAAAATGATGAGGTAGCAAAAGATTCTAAAACTGAATCACTTAAAGGAGAAGAAGAAGCTGTAGATAATGAAGCTGAAAGGGGTAATCCATTTGATGATCAAGCTAGCACTCCAGCTTTAACTCAGCAGGATGAAAATCCAGAAGATAACGAGAAATCAGAAAGTTGAAGAAAAAGTTGAAGAAAAAGTTGAAGAATCTGGCGAAGAGCCAGCAGTAGATGGTGAGCAAGCCCAGACTCCAGTTGTAAAACAGGAAGGGAATGAAGCTCAAGAAGTGGAAAAAGATGAGAGAGCAGAAGAGACTGAGCAACCGCCAGTTGAAGAACTGACAGAGCCTACTGAGACTGAAGTCAAAGAACCAAACCCTGAAGAGACAGAAAACAAAACAGAAGAACCAAAAGGTAAGAATTAATATACCACTACCAGTTGAAATCAATGAAAATTAATTATTAACCCTTAAGCCTTGTGAGCATTTAGTCACATAGTGTTTACTATGAATTAAGAAATAAAATATACTGGTACCAATACTAGCATTAATGTTACCAGTATATAACAACTTGGTAACAGCTATTTAACTAACAGTCATTTTGACAAATTTTGTTTGCAGAAGAACAAAAGTCAGAGGATAAGAAAGAATCCGAACCTGTTGAAAAACAAGATACAGATTTAACTCAAGAAGGGGAAGTAACTCCATCAGAAATACCCCCTGCTCCTCCAGTAGATTTAAAATTACTTCCATCAGCTCCCCAGATTCTCTCCCCTGATCAAATCGGAACAGAATCCTCACTGGAGGGAACCATGTCAAATTCTGCCTTGGTAAGTTTGAAATACTTTTTTCAGTGAGTTGGCATACTTTGTCCATACGCCTCAAATCCTGTTTCGAAAAATCACTCTGTATTTCAGACATCAGCTGTCCTGATGAGGATTATGCATTAAAAAACATGCCCGCAGCATGAGATGAGCAGGCAACTACACATTCAGCATTGCATTCCAATCAGTGAATCAGATTAATTTGATATACTTTTATAAGTCACCATAAACTCAAAGTACATTTTCTGTTATAGAAAGAATAGGGTGATAGGGTTTGACCCATGATTTTGACAGTAATTCAATGCTCTCTGTTTTAGAATGTGATTTGGTCGTTTGGTTTGAATCGAGATGTTCCAGTATTGAATCTAACAGATGAAACCAGGAAAATGATTTTATATCCTTGTGCTCATGTTGGAGTTCTATATGACTTTAAAAACAATAAACAACATATTCTACAGGGGCATGTAAGTATTGAAATTTTGATTTTTTGTTTGTTTCTATAGAAACACATTATATTGAGGATATCAAAATGTTGTCCCCATCCTTCTTATAGTTTAGATTTGCTTGTAAAAGTAATGATCTCATTTTGACAAAATGTGGTTATTTTCTCAAAAAATTCCAGACATTTTTTTGATGAGCTGTTTTTGAGTTATTTTCCTGAATTTAGCCAAAATAAGTTTGTCTTTGTGGTAGGGGCTGGAAAAATTATGCTTTTTCAAAGGAATGCTGCCATAAATTTTGCTACTGGCATTTTAGGAATAATGATAGTTTGTTCTGTGAAGGTTCTAAATGTTGACATTTCTATGTTTTATTTCAGACTAACTCTATAACATGTAGTTGTGTTAGTGATGATAAAAGATGGTTAGTAACTGGAGATAGAGGAGAAGATGCTATGGTTATAGTCTGGGATACATACTCTGGGTAACTACATTTTAGTCCTTTGAACATTGAGTAATATGACGTAAATTGTATGACATTACAATGTCACTATGGCTATTTCATCAGCCAATTGGGGATAAATCACATAATTAAGTGGCTGGTAGAGTTGCTGCAAGTGTTGAAGGGTTAATTAAAGTCATTGTTATTATGATATTTTAGTTTTAATTTCCTTTTTTCAGAACCCCAATTCAAACATTGTTTGATTTGAGTCCAGATGGAGATGGAGGGGTGGTTGCAGTTGCCTTGACCCCTGATGCTCGTTACCTAGCAACTCTTAGCAGCTCTAGAAATCAGGTAAGAATATTTCTTTTACCTAGGCCTGTGTTAAAGGTCAAGATGAAAACAGATATAGGTTCAATATGGACAAATAAAATTTATCAAACCAAAAAATAAAAACCAGGAATAGTAGATTTAGTAAATTAAAATTGTTGAAATTCACTTTGGACAAAATAAAAATTCATGAATTTCTGTTCTCAATGAATTATTATCCTCATGAATACGTTTCTGAGAGCATTTGCCCAGGAAATAAATAATTTGGAATTGTAATGCATTATTATAATTAGAATGATTGTACTAATACTGTTTATTTTTACAACAGGTTTTATCTATCTGGGACTGGACTATAGATGGCGAGTCTCCCATCTGCTCCGCACAACTATCCCCTGATTATGGTGTTCAAGACTTTATTTGTTTCAATCCTGAAGATTTCCACTTCCTCATCACCAACAGTCATTCACAAGTTTTATTTTATCACTGGGTAAGTTTCTTTTAACTACAGCAAGGAGAAATATCCTTAAGGATAGCAATTTTATCCTGTTCTATAGCTGGTCCTTGGACAATCCTCTTGATACTGATTTTACAAGGATAACAACTAAGGTACACAAAGATCATGTCTACCAGTTGGTCCGTGACCAATCCTCTTGGCGTTAATTTGGCAAGGATTGCAATTTAGATTCTTGGGGATCCTGTCTTGCTACTGGTTCTTATTTAATCGCTTGGTGAAGCTATAAAACCTTCTTTAAATCTCTTTTAAAACCAGCTGATATTGACTATACTTTGATATTGTAGGAAGATACAGCTATAGAATATTTCGCCCCACCCCTAACAGATGAAGATTTTAATAAACAAGTAGGAAACTACAGTCAGTCTATCTTTCAATCAAACAGTTCCAGAGCCTTGACCGGTACCTCTATTGGTAACTTGGTAGTTTGGGATAACAATAAACCACTCACTAAAGGTATGTTATATTTTTATTTTGAATGACTAGAATTGTTGTGTTTCAGCATTATTATCAGTTTGGACTCTCTGTAGTGGATACTGAGTGGTATCAAGACTTACATAGGATTATGTTCTGTATTGTAACCAACACTTGCACCAATAGAAAAATTTGTTGTTGTTTCAAATAGTAAGATATAATTTGTTGAATGAAGGGAGTTTTTTCATCTAATTTGATGGTAAAATGGTAAAATGATAAAACAGAGAAATTTTATCAAAATTATGATGATTAGTTTATGGACCTAACTCTAACTCTAAACCTAACCTAAAAAATTCCATATCTTTTACGAACATATAATGTAGAGGATCTGAAACAAGTATCCAATTATACTCTATTTTGATATTTGTAGTTGTAACAACAGAACAATCAGCTGATAAAAAAGCTTTAAAGATCATCAAGTTACAAGAGAGAGGAATCAACGTATTAACCACCACTGATAAGTAAGTGTCCAGACATCATGAGTTTTTCTTTAGGGTGGGGAAACTGTCATCTGTCACAGACAACACTGTCTTGTGATTATATCTTCTCTCAAAATTGGACAAGATGCCTCAAGTCTTGAAGGAAAGGAAACCTGACCTGGAACAGACAGATAAAGATGTCTTTCCACATCTTGGTATATTAAAAAAAGGAACACAGCAAGTCTCCTTTTGTTTAGGTGAAATGAGTAGTAATAAAGACAAATAAAGTCTTTTTACAAGAGTGTTGCTCAGGTTAGTTCAGTTTAGTTTATTTTTTGTGTTATTTTAGATATATAGTAGTAGGAGATATGGCTGGCCATGTGAAATTTTTTGATCAAACATTGAAGTTAATATATTGGTAAGTTGTTACAGCTTTGGTTTTACTTTATTTTTTGGTTGATATGGAGATTGTAGGTTCTTATATAGCTTGGCGTGCAAAATTTTGGTGGTCCTCAGAATGTCATCTATCCTCATCATTCCAGTTGACCCAGTTGTAAATCAATGCCAAGAGGTTTGTCCAAGGATCAGCTGGTAGACAGGATCCTTAACTGTGAACAAAGGTTGTTATCCTTGTAAAAAATGTTTTTTTCTTTCCTTCTTGAAACAAACAAACTTGTATTTCTAAGACACAAGTAGAAACATTCTATATTGTTGTCAGTGCTATTGATATGTACAGAGATATAACTGAATTATTTGATTTGGTCTGTTGAGAAATAAAAGCAATAAGCTTTTTTTATTTAAATTTGAATTAAATTATTTCAGGTATCAAGATTTTCATCTCGGTCCAATCACGTCTGTTTCATTTTCACATGTTCCTGAATTCATCCCTGCGTAAGTCTTTTCCTTTTATTAGAGGTTATAAACTTTTCTATAATTTAATGGGTGAATAAAATGAAATATAGAGCTATATATCATTGGTAGGAAATCTTGCAGTCCGTCATGTTCAAAGGTTTAACTTATATTTTAATTTCAGGGCCTCTGAAGGAACAAATTACCCAGGTGATGCCACCATTTCAGCTAAGAAATTTGTCATCAAAGATTTTGTTGTTGGTACAAGTATTGCCATATTTGGAAATGTTACAGCAGATGGAACCAAAGTTGAGGTTAGCTCCCTTCTCTTTATCTTTGTTGATTGTAACTGATTTTATTTAGGTCATAACAGATTTGGACTAACAGTATTTGATATGTGTTTTCTATTAATTAGATGTGATGTATGCTTAACTTTATTTCTTTCATAGTTTTATGATCAAAACTTTCCATCGAAATTAAAGCGAAGAAGTTAAACTTAAAGCAGTAAAATTTTTGCGAGTCTCAACTAAATTCATAACTTAAGAAGTTAATATTCCAGTTGGTCTATTGAAAAGCTAAGGGAAGTAAACTGTTAGGCTAACATTTATTCTTCTCAAGATGCTCATAAATTGATGAAATTAGGCTACAGACCACAAATTAAATTGACGTCATTAATTATAGTTATCTCCCTTTGACTGTAGGTTATCCATCGAGAACATGATGCTGCTATTCATGCTTTGGCTTCTCATCCTAAATCGTAAGTAATTTATTATCAACCTTGCTTCAGTTCTATTGTTTAATGGTTACAACTTTTTCAAAGAATTTTTAAATTTCTTTTCTGCTTTGAATTCAGCAATTAACTTCCTAATTCTATTTCTGGGTTTATAAACCTGTAAGCTAAAATTGATCATTTTTATTTTTCTACTAGACCATATCTTGTGATTGGAAGTTATTCAGGATTGATACAGATCTGGGATTATGAAAAGAAGTAAGTGTATTTTGAGTAATTTTCTCATGAAAAAACTTGTCGCTTAAACCTAGCCTAGCATGGAATATCACACATTATACAGGTTGCCTGTTACCCGAACTTGTTTTGTGGAATTGAAATCTTCTTATTATCATCAACATCTCTGCCTTAGTCAGTTATTGGGGGAATATTTACTGGAACATTTCTTAATAATACTTTCATGGTATGACTTGTGCACTGACTTGAATATTTTGGCTTTTGATTATACTATTAAAGCTATTTTTTCTTTCTAGAAAAGTTATGGTGTCAAGAACATTTGAAAGAGGTTTACATATCAGATGTTGTTCGTTTGATCCAAAGGGAGAATATTTAGGTTTGTACCATTTTTTGTATTTTAGCTTGGAATATAGCTGCTTTCGCTTTCCCAGCTGATAGAGCTCAAGTTCAGCTATCTGTATAGTCAGTCCCCACTTTCAGTTTCTTATCATTGTACATAGTGAAAGACATGCCAGTTAGCCCTCCTTTATATTTCATGGGCTCCCACTCGGCTTCTTCACTCATTGTTTCATAAAAATACCACTGGCTTTAAAATTATCTCAATCCATGGATTTTGTTTTCAGCTGTTGGTTTCACCAATGGAACCATAAGAATATTAGATGCTATAACACTAAATGAAGAACAGTCTGAACCTTTTCGTTATTCTAAAGATGTCATCACTCACCTCGTCTTCTCACACAACTCCCTGTATTTAGCTGCAGCTGTAAGTAATAACTTACAATTTAAAAAACACCATGATTGATAATAGTTTCCCAGTGTCAGGGACGCAGGTAGAAGGGCTGACATGAGAAATGTAATGGGTGTAGAACCCAAATTGACAATTAAATCTTACAATCCCCTTAACAACCTCACCTTCACCAACCCTCTTCCTGAAAAGTAGGACATAAAACTCCATTTCATTTCACCAACCCTCTTCCCTCATTGTACACTGCATTGCATTGTCTTTTTAATAGCCTAATAAGGGAGCAGAAAGAACATAGAACTCCATTTCAGGACTTCAATCAATCCTGTCTAAAATTTGTCATTACAAAAAGTGTTGTTTACACAATAATAAAAACATTTTGTTGTTATTTACAGGATGCAGAATACGCCCTGACAGTTTATAAAAAACAGCTGGACGGGAACGACCCCTACGATTATCTAGGTCGTTACCGAGCTCATTATAAATCTATTAATGACGTAATATTTGGAGTTTACCTGGATACAGATATCCCTCGGCTTATGACACTTGGAGAAGATAGAGTTTTGGTAAGTCTGTTTTCTTTTGGTTACAATGTGTTAAGTCCAGTTTAGGTCAAGGTGAAGGTCAAATTTATGATGTCAAGGTTGAATAAATGTCAATAGTCAAGGTCTCCTATCAAGGTCATGGTCTTACCAAGATAAGATTTTGTGAAATAGGACCTTTAATTTAGATTGAGGAAGAGTAGAAATATCAATGTGAATATAAAGATTATTTGATTCCAGGTTGAGTATGATTTAGAATCGTCAGTTCGTGACAATCTAGTAGTAACTAGTACCGATAGAATAGAACAGAGTGGTGTACCTAAATGTATGGCCTGGTATCCTCCTATAACTAAAGAACATTTTATAGTTACAGCCAATGACCAGGTACAGATAAATACATTTTAGTACAAATAATCAAGGAGAGCTCACCGTTTTGTACGTTCAGCTTTCGGGCGAAGTGGCTGGATGATAAAATCTGCAAAGAGTCGTGGAGGTAACGAAAGGAAAAGAGACCCGTCACATGGTCGACTTGGCTTTCTCTAACGCACGTCTTCGCAACTTTCCCTGTCTGAGCCGTTCTCGCGTGCAGTTAATAAATGTAAGAAATAGTATATCCATATATTTTGTGCTACTTTATCGAGAGCTCACCTATTTTTTTAAGTTGTTACCCTTTTTGAGTTAAACTAATGTATAATTTGTATTTATGTTTTCAGTTTAAATTCAAGTTGTTCAATGCTACAACTAAAATGTGTCGTAAAACTTTACTTGGACCAACGTTTGGATCTCCTGTATTGAGGTAACTCTTAATTGCTTACACCTTTTTTTTTAAGCTATTTGAATTAAGGATGTATTTGAATTAAGGATGTATTTGAATTAAGGATGTATTTGAATTAAGGATGTATTTGAATTAAGGATGTATTTGAATCTTTTAAATTTTATTTAATGATAAAGATCCAAGATTGTTACCCACAACTTTCTCAGGTACAAAGTATCATAGTCAAGATGTTCAGTCAAGCTGGTAGACCAAAGTCTAAAAAACGCAATTCCTTGTTAATTATGGATGTTCCTTGGATGGGTTTCGTCCTTGCATTCAGTGTGTGTTATTCTAACGTCAGTCTAGGATCTTTGAAGATATTAACAAACATGCATCAAATATGGTCTTGGGATTCTTGATTTTGTGATTTTTCTATGATTTCTATGAGTTTTCTCCTTGTAAGGAATGAGGGGTCTCTCCTTTTTGGAGATATTGATTGATGTGTTAAAAATTTGTCTCAATTTGTGAGGATTTTTTTTATCATTGCAGACTATCTGTTCTACCCACTGATGACCCAGCAACTGATAAACGTTACCTAGCCTATCATACAGAAGATAAAGTGGGTCTGGTTATTCTACCGCTAGACGGAAATCCACATAACTCTATGTCTCTAGTAGCTCACCCTAGTGGCGTAAGTTTGATTTTAGATTCTTATCATCTTAGATATGGATTTCTGATTTGGTTTTTGGCCTTTGACTTATTTACAAACGACAATATTGACAAGTGCAGATATTTTTACCCAAAATATCAAGATAAAGAATTGCACATTAATGTCCTGTAAAAATAGTAGAAGCTGATTTAAAAGATTTGGGTCCAGACATGATTGGATTACTGTATCACTATCAATAATCCTACACCAGATATCATAGGCCTACTTCGTATTTTCTTAATTATTTTATATCTGATTGTTCTATGTATTTATGGAATTTGATATTTTGTAGGTAACCAATATGACTTGTAGCCATGATGGAAGATATATCTTTACTGCTGGTGGCTCAGATTCAGCTGTTCATATGTGGGAGGTCAACAAAAAGTGAGTTGTTAACTCCTCCATGTTATTGGGGCTACTTACTATTTTGATGTTTCGGTTTCAAACTTATTTTTTCAAGTGTCTGGCAGTGGCAAAACTGAGTTTGACTGTTTGAACAGAGGAATGTGATTGGAATATAATTAGCCTTTTCATAGGTTTAACTGCTGATTGTAATAAATTCTATTGATTCAGAATTCAAGAGCTGAAGGCATCTTGTCAATGCAAATATCAAAAATATGTAAAAATATTAGGGCCCTAAATGATTGATAATGATTGTATACTCTTCTAGTGCTCTAGAACATGGTATATGTGTTACCCCCTATCATTTAGAGTAGACCAAATTGATGTACTGTGAAAGTTTGCTATACTATAATGTATTCTATTGTAGTGCTCTAGAAGCCCAGTCTAAGCTAGGTGGGGAAGATTTAATACCATTCTATGGTTTATTAGAGGGAGGTAGAGAAGGAGAACTGTTTGCTGAGTTAGAAGATTATTTTTATTATGCTCAAATCAGAAGGTAAGATCTTGTTTGTAGGATATTTTATTGTCTAAAACAATTAAGTTAAGATATTACAATAAACCTTGTTCACTCAACAGCCATATTAAATGCAGAAAGAGACTCATAAAGCAAAGAAACAAATGTAACAATGTGTCACTGCATAAAATCGCCACCTTGAAATCTTTAACACCTCCTTCTCCAATCTCCAAACTAATCATATTTTACGTCATTAAAGTCTCTTTTAAATGGCAGACTAATTTGCGTTAACATACCTCGCTTTTAGTGTCTCAAAAACAAGGCATAAATCAGGACCAGTATGCACCTTAAGGATCCCTTAACAGATTATGTTGTACATTGTTCTATCAAATAATGTGTCCGAACTGAATACTTGACACTAATTCATCCCATGCTACTGACATGTGTTTTGGATATAAAATCTTCATCAGGACAACCAGTGAAAATGGCAATTGAGATTTTGTGATATTTTATATTCCAGTCAAGGAGTAGATTCTCAAGAAATTAGAAATGTCTCAGTAAAAATCGTCCTCAGTGAAGTACCGTTTGTGATGAGAGCTTTAGGTTTTTACCCCACAGAACAAGAGGTATGTTATATGTTTATGAAAATTACTGTGAAAACTTTGATTTCCCAGGCACCAAATTCCTTTGATGTGTTGATTAATGATTTTTTATACACAAATGTAACACTCTTTAATTGAATTTACAAAATCATCCTGCCCTTGCCGATATATGGTGCAGAAAAGTAGGAGGTAAAACTCCATTCATTTCATTTTCTCTTGCCCATGTATCCTAATGAGACCAGTTTTATGGTGGCCAAAAGCTTGATTGTTGGCTTTTTTTGTGTGGAATTTACTCCTTTCTGATTTTCAGATTTTTGTTTAGCTTCTCCATATTTTGAGAATGATAATCTCAGGAAAGTTTGAAAGATAATTGTATGATATATTATATTATAGATTGAAGATATGTTAAATGAAGTTAAATTTAGTCAGTACGTAGAAACAGGACAATATGTAGAAGAAATTGATCTGGGTGATTTAATCAAATGTAAGTTTTATTGACAAACAACAACTTCTGTATATTGATCACACACATAACAAACATATACTGTATCACCTGTATACAGTCACCACTTGTATTTAATTATCTATTTAATGGCCACTCTTTTTTAACAATGGCTATGTTGTTTGTTTTCAGTGTATGTGAATCATCGACCAGCGTTTGGTCTATCAGCAGAGAAAGTTCTGGAAGCGTTTGATATTCTAGGAATACCTACTAATAATGGTAACGCTGTAGACAGAGGAGACTTGTTAGATATGTTACAGAGTAAAGGTAAAGTAAATTATCTGTTATTAGTCTCTTGTCATCACTTTATATTTTAATTCTACTATTTAGAGTTGCCCAAGATGTCCAGGTGTGTACAGGGTTGCAAGTTAATGAGCTATATTATCTGTAGGAAGTATCTGTCTCGGCTTCCTAACATGATTAACTTTCAAGAGATCTTGACAGTGTGAAGTTGATTATACCTCAAAAATTCCAGCATTTCAACCTGGTAAAGGTGACAAATTAAAGATTTTTTAAATTATGTCCTTTTTTAGAACATTTTTTTAGTTTATACACCTTCAAAGATTTTTGTCAAAAAGCTACTTTTGAGATTTTATGTTTTCTATTCCATTCTTTTCATCTTATATTCTTCATATTTTCAGGAGAACACATGACGGAGAATGAACTAGCAGAATATTTATGTACGTTGCTAGGCAACAATGAAGAGGGCGGTAGTAGTGAATTACATAACATTGATCCTACTGTGGCGGGAGACTTGATTGACCAGAATTTACCCCATCATATAACGGCAGACATGTTTTCACAACAGATATTAGGCTTCTCCATGTACAATGATTATAACATGGTACAGTAGAGTCAGTGTCAGATGGCTAAAGGGGTTGAAGAAGAGATCTTGTGTCATACGATGTTGGATTATCGATGTAGTAGAATATGGTATCCTGGGGACTTATTCTCCAAAATGTGACTTGAGAAACTGGGCCGAGATTTTAAGAAATACAGCAATCTGATTGGGTAAAATAGCTAGATTTATAATTAATTTTAATGATAGTCCAATCAGATGACCAGAAAACAAAAATTCTCTCAAGTTTTCACAAATAAGGCCCCTGGTCAGTACAGAATTAGAGATACAGAAGTAACTAAAAGAAGCAAATCTTGTCCAGACCCATACCTTTTGTATTCTCTTTCTCTACTGAATCTATATCAGAAAACAAATACATCTTTGATACCTTTAATCCACGTCCTGACTGGTTTGTGCTATAAAATGGACATAAGTTATGAAAATATAATTGGACTTGAACCTGTACATATATACAACTGTAGTTTTAAGCTGCACTGAATTTTATCTTAAGGTATTTTGAAAATGTTCCGTTGTATATGATACAGAAGGGACAATATATATCAAGCCAGTGGTGTATATATATATTTATAAAGCTGTGATATTGTAAGATAGTGTTGTTGAAGTCTGATAGTTATTATGTTAATGTATACCTCAATATAGATATTTTTATTATAACACAAATTCTCAATTTCTGAGGAGTAGAGCTGGTGACTACCCTGAATTTTTTATGTTTGCCCCTAGTCTACCCACTTGTCACCCTGAAAGAATAGATGCAGGTTGGAGGGACTTGTTAATTTGATGGGACCAAGGAAATGGTTGTAATATAAGGACACCAAGCTATTAACAACTATAATCTCTTGACCCAGTCTCTTAAATCAGGTTTGCGATCTGTTTGACCAATTGTACCCTACCTAAAGGGATCCCCGTTTCTGAGACTAAACTAATCATTAAGTGTTCACAGCTTTCTGTCGAAATTTGAGCTTTCGAATCCATGTGAGTCTCGAATTATTCACGTTTGAAAGTTGAAATGACGACTTGTCAAAAATGGCGAACCATGGCCTTTAAGATAAACATTTGTCACAAGTTTACTTTTTACTTATAATTCGAGAAACAGATCAAAACTAAAACCAGGGTGACACTTGATTGGAGAGTTCTGAACAGGTTCCGTCTCTTCCAATTCTGCCATTTTGAATTCTGTCTGCACCTATTGTATCGGCACACATGGAACGCATTCTGAACCCTGTTCCAACGTGCTGAACTCACTAATCGGGCAGTCTCTTGGATCTTGGAAGGGAAAATCAACACAAAATGAAATGATAGTTTTATTTAATACCAGACCAAATGGTAGAAAACTGATCATTTTGATTTGTGAATAATCCGGTTGGTACAATATAATTTATAGCAGTTTCTTTCTTTCTTCTCTTACACTCTCTCTCTATCAGCTGAAATATTAATATTCATTAACTCAATTAGCATATTACATGAATATTCATTTGATAAAATACATGTTAGCTCATACTAAAGACCTCTATCAGCTGAAACATGATGTTTATTAGTTAGCATATTTTATGAATATTCATTTGATAAAATATATATTATCTCTTACTGAAGACAAGCTAAAACTTGAATATTCATTAACTCAATTAGCATATTAGCTGAAACATTATATCAATATATTTTGAATATCTATTCAATCAAAGAAATATAACTTCGTCATAAACGAACACGATAAATAAATATTCATTAATTGCAGTAACAAATCACGTAAGCTATATTAAAGTATAAATATTCATGAGCTATTCAAATAAGTGGAAGTCTGGAGAAAATTCCCTGTTCATTCACATTCATCATGGTTCTACCTGATTTCATAAGACAATATAAGCCTAGTATTCCTCTGAAACATGAATTTTCTGTATTTACCTCGTCAGTGGAAATATCTAGAATATCTGAGAGTAATTCCTCCTGTTGATTTAACTGACTGTTTACTTTATTAGCTGCTAGAACTACTTCTGGACAGTAGTGAGACTGTAATGTCTACAATATAACATAAAAAAATAAAATAACACAAAACTAGCGCCAAGTTTCATAATTTGTTTTTAAAAATTTGTAATTAATGACGACACTCAAGATGGTCAACATTTTGTAAAAGTTTATAATCATCTTAAAATATAAATACATGTTATCTCAACAAAAGATAAAAAAACTTGCACAATGAAAATCATTCTCCATCTACCCATAGGATTATGGGAAAAATTGGTAATAATGTAAAGAATTCGTGAACCTAAAGTTACGGTACTTTGAAACTGTTTTAGTGTTTAGATCGCTTCCAGTTAAGCTTCGCCAAAAAAGATGACATTAAGGCAACCTAGAGGTTTTAAGAAGCACACTGCTTACCTTGATTTCCCAGAGATAACTGTCCATGGCTCGACATTTACTAGGGTCTGTTTCGTCCAGTATAAATGGATCATTTTGTATTTCTACAATAAAATATATGAATCTTATTCTACAAGTTTTTAAACATTTCTTCCTTTTCAGACAATCATAGAGCAAATCAGGTGGAAATCCACGAAAAATGTCATGATTAAAATATGGCCCTTCATGTAGATTCAAGTGAAAATCGATAATGTCCCCGATAAACATACAGAGTTAAGAAAACCTTTTTACAATCCTTTTAACTCTTGGCTGTGGGATCTATGGACAAATTAAGAATTCACTAACCCTTCAACTTACCTGAAGGTCCGTCCAGTCTTCCCAATAAAACCTGACAGTTAGGATGCCGTTTTAATAGATTGAGAATAGAAGTTATAGCTATTCGTATTCCACTAGGAGGCGCTGTTAAACATAATCTCGCTAGTTTTTTAATGAAGGCTGCTACTAAATACCCTGGCAGATGTCTGAAATCATAATGAAATAAAGTTGAGGAATAAAGACGTGTTATCTCTACTGTGATGTAGAATGTAGATATAGTAGACAATTTTACAAGTGAATAGACTAGGGGATCAGTGACAGTGCAAGTCTGAAGAGACTGGGTGATCAAAGAGAGGGACGACTGTCTCTATATGAGGACAATCAAAATGCAGCAGACGTATGTAGAGGTGTGATACTGATAGTCCCAAGAAAATTTCTGGAAAATTTTAATTGATTTGGTGCATTCTGACACATATTTTGGGGCAAAAACATATAAAAATCGTTATTTTTAAATTTATTTAAAATACACTGGAGGTGTTAACCATTTTTCCAGGGCAGGAAAATAACGATAAAACTTACGTGGAAGACAAGAATATATCAGCTAAATAGAAAAACCTGGCTCGATATTTAGCATGGAATATAATAGGATCAAATAATAAATACAGCTTGTAGTAGAAATCAGGATAATCTCTGTAATATACAAGATAAATAGATTCAACAAATATTTCAACCTGTGCTTCAATCACAATTACGCCTCTTTTTTGGCGTGACTGGTATTTTGCTACTGTCTTGAAAGGGTTCAAAAATGGATTTTCATGTCTTGTAATGTGTATAAGGAATAACATTAGCTACTGACAGCGATGACAAATTATTGGTGTTCTTTTAATAATATGGTTATCACATAAAAATCTTTGGTTGGTTTAAGAGTTCTACACTAAGTATGTACACAGTACAGTGCCAGAAACTAGACGGTACCAGTACTTACAAGTTATATTGGTTGATTAGAATAAAAATACTATTTAAAGCTAGTAAACTTATAGCTCCACCTGGAAGAGAGAGAGAAACAACCAGATCATAACCTGCATACCTTGAATACCTTGTCGCTTAAAACACACACTTTATTGATAAATAATCCATAAGCCACATTTAGCAGCTCAGATACATTATGACATGATCGTTATCAATAGATGGGACTGTGGTTCACTTTCTCCAAACAGGATCATATTAGATAAAGTGAATCATTTCCATTGACATTAGAAGGAGAAATGGCAGGACAAACCACTATAATGGCAGTCCAGAGCTATACAGTATCATATAAAAATAAAACCCTGCTACTGACCTATATTATAGGAATCTGTTAAGAAATCAGCTAGAAACAGTGGACTTGTTAAATTAGGTATAACTTTATCATGCATTATCATTAATACATGTTTATATATACTTGGAGTAAGCTGAAAAATACAACATTTGATTAGAAATGGAAGGAGTTTTTACATCCTACTTTTCTGCACCATGTTGGAGCATTTGATCAATATCAACACATAAATTGCTAAATCTATGGTGACTGGCTTTGTAGAATCATTCAGTTTGACACCTGAACCAGTGTCTTCTTAACATCTTACCAAACAAGGATGGAAAATTTGATTTTCTGCTAACATGGGCTGATGTTAAAATCAAGAATTATTTAGTTTATATTCAATATGTATCATCTGACACTTAGATTACTGTTTCACCTAAAATCTGGATTAACCTTATTTTTGTGACGTTGTCCCCTAAAAAAATCATAATATTCATATTATCTTACCTTAAATCTCAGGAATTTTAACCAAACTGTAGAAAATAATTTTTTCTGTTCTTCTAAAGATTTAGCTTGTAGAGCTTCTTCATTGTCTAATATTCAGAGAATAACAGATATAAAATAGGTTTTTTAGTTTGTATAAAAACTTACAAGGTAAGGTGTATGGTGCAGAATTATTGCTACAGTGATTATATTTTAGGCAATGTTTGGTCGTGTTGCTTCCTTATTAATGAGGCGAATGAGAAATTTCTTACCAGGTTTTTTGGCTAGCCATTTTGTTTCTGACTGATCACCCTGTGTTGATGAAGTGAATGTGAGATTCTCTAACAAACTAAAAACATTTTTCACGTAAATTTCATTCATTTCCTGTAAGAATAAAGATAGAAAACAACTTTAACAAAATTTTAGATGGAGCAAGGATCAACAAGGTATCTTCTGTCTTCAGTCAAAAACCATTATCAGTGGTCTATAATACAGTACAAAACACTCAAAAATTGTATCTAAATCTTTCATTGAGTGAGTTTTAATGCCGAGCAAGAATTCTAATAAGCCATCACTTGAATCATATCTATTTTTGAATCTACAAGTTAAAACACTCTCTTTAGTTTATTTCTTCTTTAATCCTTCTATTGTCAATGTAACTCCCATTCCCAAACATAGCTCTTCGGTGAGGATTTTATAGGTCAGAAACAAGCTACAGCTTTGGCTTATCTGTCAGCCAAGTTTTCGAAGATCCAAAAGTCATCATACCTGATTTTTCTTGTGTTTAAAATCAGAATGTAAAAAACTTAAAACGTAAAATCTGACGTCCTCGTATTCTGTGTATTCCTGAAACTTCTTCCAGAGTCTGGACATATCCTTCGTATCTGAGATTAACTTGGTAAAAATTTTCTACAAAACAAACAGAAATACTCAACTATGACATATCAGCAAGAAGTCATCAATATTGTTCTGTGTATCATGTGATGTTGTATCACTATATCATAGAGTGTTTGTCCTATCATTTCTTCTACGCTTAGATATGCATGTATTTTATTTGTGGCTAAGCTGACCCCTCCTTAAAAGCCTGAAATGTTGTAAGAGTAGAAGAAAATTATATTTACAACCATTCTTCACATAAACTTCAGCAGTTTGTTTTATTTTATGAAGAAATTTTATAATAAATTTTGAAAAAATGTCAAAATCATTAGACTAATAAATATATTGTTAAATATACCTGAAAAAGTCGTGAGGGGAAAGTCTGTTGAGGAGTTATTTTACGTAATGGCGTGTGACCTTCACCTTCTACCAGCTTCATCATCGTTAATAACGCAGAATCCTAGAAAAAAAACAGACAATTTGAAGTACAGGGACAGGTTAGCCATCAGTTTGACCAATTGTACCTTAGTCTCAGAAGCCAATCAGTTATAGTGTTCACAGCTCACTGTAGAAATTTGAACCTTCAAATCCATTTGTGTCCAGAATTATCTACATTTGAAAGTTAAGAATGAAGACTCGTCTTTTCTTGAAACACTGCCATATATAGAAGATACGTATATATCAATAGAAAGTGAAATAGAAGATGCTGACCCTAATGAAATGTAATTTAGAAAGCTACGTTACCTGAATCAGTGTATTATCATGATGTAATAAATCAGCGAGATGAAATAACGTACTGGCGTATTGTTCTCGTAACCATACTTTATATTTCTCTTCTACTTTTAGATCTATAATCAGACAGAATTATAATCAGTTTCTCTCAACTGAATGAGGACATAAGTGAGTTTGGATCTACTTACTCCAACAGCAGGTAACAAAATGGCAGCTACTTAAAGACTTAAAGTCTTTTGAATTTTCAATTCAATATAAATAATGCAATGCATTCTGTCAATAACCAACATGAATAGCGTGAAAAAATGAACATTTAACAAGTGTACCTGAGAACAACATCTCACACTTTATAAGAAGAGTACCTTTAAATGCCAGTGATCTTGTTGCAGTTAAAATATTTGCATTTACTGGGAACCAAAAAGTAATTGATTAGATCTCATCTTCTGATACACAAATTGAACTCCATAGTTTTAGAAACAGTTCTAGAAATAGAGGTTAGCTTTCCATATATGGACTAAATGTTTCTGGGCAACGTAAACGAAATCAATAAACATCCACTAAAATATTTGATATTCAAAGCCTTGCACACATGATAAATTCTCAAATACAAATAAAAACTGTCAAACCTTTCATGTCCTGTTCTGAAGGTGGTTTATCAAAATACATCTCTTGTGTTGAAATAAATCTAGTGAATATTTTATGTAGTCCTCGGATACATGCTAAAATAACACTTTCATCTTCCAGCTACAAACAAAAATTAAAAAACTTAAAAGAAGGTAAAGAGCTTTTCTAAATTTTTTATGTGTATCTCAGACACTGATAGCATCAATTTACATCATTCTAATTTTCATTCTGACGTCTGTGGTTCTTGCAATTCGACTAAAACTAACTTGTTATATGACGTCACTAGTTTCCCTCTAGTTTTAGTGGAATTGCAGGAACCACAGACATTGGAATGAATATTGGAATGGTACAAATTGATACCATAAGTGTCCCCGATACACATAAAAGGTTAAGAAAACATCTTTACAATCCCTTTAATCAATGTTACATTTTTGTCAACTCTGGGGAAAAGAGATAGAGAGGAAGCAAGCTGTAAATAGAAATCAGTCATCACTTTGGAGAAAAACCAGGTGAGAGTCTGACCTAGAAAACTAACTAAACACTATTATCATCCAACTGTTAACAGAAATCAAAATAGCTTTCGAGTTTTAGAAATATCTACTCTATAGTTGACATTATAAAGAAAATAGGGTGTGGGTAATCTCCAATCTCCATGTCCTGATATAACTCACTGTGATCTCCTTTTAAAGTAATAATGTTACAATTGTTTGCTCTAGTCAGTTATTACTGCAGTGAAAACGGATTGAAAATATATTATAGAACGATCTATTCAATCACTTAATATAACATTTTTTTCTATCTTCAAGTTGTAAACAGAAATCAAATAGCTTTAACAAGGTCTGCTTAAGTCAGTTTTCTCAAACAGAAAAATAGAAGGAATGTTGCTTGTGGAAAGCCATAACTCTGCACAGTTCATAGATCTGTCTTGTCCATAAAAATGATGATATCTTTATGAAGGATGGGCTAGCTTTCGCCAATATAGTCCTATCCTATCAAACCAGTTATATAATACTATTATGAAATAAGTCACAACATGTATTCTAAAATATAATACAATATGATGTATAGGCTCATTGTCTTAAAGGATTCAGTCATATACACATTTGCTTTACCACACGTTTCCTGGTTTCCATGAACTACAGACGTCTGATTGAAATTTGAAATGGTGCAAAATGATGCTATAAATGTCCTTGATACACATACAATATTCAAATAACCTCTCAAAACTCCATTAAATATAAATACATGTACACATGAGAGTAATTAACTTGACTCCTTCCCTTTAAACCAATAGCAGTAACCTTCTATATAGTTCATAAAATATTAACGATAGGTATAGGCTTATCATTAGGTTGGGGAACTGTTTCAGACCAAGGATTAGGATTATCTATAAATACTATAATCTTAGAGGGTAAGGATAAAGATTAGAGGGGGTCATACATATTAAAGTGGGGGTATGTACAATTTATATAATAGACTATCGACAGAGTTCAAGCTAAATTTTATGGAGAAAAATTTTGACAATCTGAGTCAGACAGATTTTTTAAAAAGGCCATCTTTACAGTGACAACCATTCTACCTGACACACAATTCATGATACAAAACCCGAGCAGTCTGCCTTATCATGGCAGAAAAAGAAGCTGCACAATTAGACGATATGGGTTATTTTTCAGAGCTTCATTGTGCAAAATTCTGTTAGAAGTGCTCATATAAACAAATATGCCACGCCCACTTTTCAGAGTTTTCAGACCAAAAAAGATTAAAGATCAGAGGACAGTAAAATCTGATGACTGAATTAAACGAAGGATACCTCAATGTAGCCAAGAATGTCAACGATCGCATTCGAATTTTTTCTGTCTTCAGCACAGAGTTTGGCTTTTTCTTTAATTTCATTGATAACTTGCTTAGATGAACCTCGTGTGTCTTTGGGAGCCATGTTAAATCACGTGACCGTGTGTAATCAATCAATGTAGTCGAAATGATCCAGTCTTAAATTTTTATTGACATTTCCACTGGAAACACAAGACTCAATAAAATGCGTGGCGTGTTCGCGCAGGCGCATTATACACCTTGGTCTCCCATATTCGATTGAATCGCATTTCCAGACAGGGATATTTCTGCAATTTTCTTGATCAAATTTTTTAACCAAGTACCAAAACTCATCAAAATGTTTAGCTAAAGTGCTAAGTTGGTTGGAAATGGGTAATATGGCCAAGGATGGATGGTAAAAATACCATAAACTTATAATCTTCTATTTGGTAAGGAGGAAGAATTATTATTCAAAATGGCGCCGGGCACCTCAAGGCCATTCGCGCGCATTGTGTATTTTAGCGCAGTCATGTTTCATTTTCGCTTGCAAATTTCTCTGGTCATTATGATCCGATTGTTCGACTTTCAATGGCGATCTTTCATTTTAGCAGAGAAAATTTAATTTTCAAATTTTTGGAGAATGGCATCGTTGATTTAGTAATAATTTTTACTATTTCCTGATGCAATATTTGTGGTGGATGAGGCACGTGCTTTTGTTATGATTGGCAACTTGGCTGTCTGAAGCTTTTGGACTGTTGTCTTGGTTCACTATGTATATAAAACTGTCGACATTGTCATTGATATGTAAAATCTTGATCATCGATGAGGCCATTTTTTTCTTAAAATTAAACTCTCATCTCATTTTTAAGATGTTATGAACTTAGACCTTGACTGCAAAAGCTACCTTTCTTGTCAGACTTGTGTGAGCAGTTTGTAATTGTAGCCATTTGATTAGATTGTATGCAAAGGAATACAGTCAAACAGAAGTGTCAGTAATTGTCAAGGTGCTGTATGTTATGAATTGTACGAACCCTAACTTTTATTACTGGTTTTCATTGCAGGAGGTTCGAGCAGTATGCAGAGAGGTGATAATAATGGAAGCAATAACTCTGCAGACCAGCAGAAGACCACTGTGGCAGCGTCTGGAAGCAATCGAGAAGGTGTGGTGGTGTCAGTTATTCCCCAGTCTGGGGTGCTGCAACCAGGCGCCATACAGCAATACACGCTTACTGAGCAACAACTTCAGGCTTTAACTTCTGGACAAAACATAGGTCAGCATTACGTCTTTCTAACATGGTATATTTTGACTTAGGGCCAATATGGTTAGGTGCCAAGTTGCCAAACAAAGACAACCCAGAACATGATATAAAGACTTCTCTTATCAATGTTATTATAGGCTGATTGAAGACATATTAAAGTTTACCAAATTTATTAACAAGTAGTTGACTTCTCTTTTATAATGAAGTTATGCTTGGACATTGTTTGGCTAAATTACTAGATTAAAATTCTTTTGTCAATTTGATCTTAATCTGTTTATTTCTATCATCTAATCCTATACTAAATCCAATTAAACAAATCATATCTAAGTGATTAGTTGATAATTGGTCTGAGGGTTACGACTGGCTGATATTATTCATTGTCTTTTTATCTTCCTTCCTTTCAATATTTTGCGTAACCTAAAAATAGGTTAGGGGTTTTAGATCTGCATAACCTTTTTTGGGGTTACACAAAATATTTAGTATTAGTACTAAGTGAGCTGGACTTGAATATCTTTCTGTTTTAACCTATGATTTCACTAAACAAATTGTAAATGAAGTTGTTGAACGTTGTTGGAACATATTCCAGACTACAATTCAGTGGTTGAAGTTATTTGTCTTATCTGGCAAATAATTGGTGACAATTTTCTGCATTTCAGGTGTTGTTCAAAGTTTAGGTGGATCAAGCTTTACTCTTCAGACTGCTACATCACAACAAGTACCTGTTCAACCTCCGTCTCAATCATCTGGTAGTCAATTGGTCAGTCCTGTCGTCCAGACTCTTATTACGTCAGGTTCCGGCTCCAGTCTCTCAACCGCTGATCTTAATTCAGTTCTACAACAACAGTTAGCTTCTAGTAAGTAGCTTCTGAAGTTTCTGAAGGAAAGGGGTTTCAAGTGTTAAAAATCTGGACAAAGATGTGATTAGAATGAATTGTTGATATTGTTTAAAATATTAGGGCATCATGTCCAAACCTGTCCGAATGTTTATTGAAGCTTAATTATTCACACCATTCTTCATCTTAGTGTGGCTTGAGAAAGCAACCAAAACAAGCTAGATATTTAAGGCAACTGTTCATATATTTCTTGGTCCTTACTGTGCTCAAATATTTCCATTGGACTACAGTTATCGCTATCAAATATTTCCTTTGGACTACAGTTATCTCTATCAAATATTTCCTTTGGACTACAGTTATCTCTATCAAATATTTCCGTTGGACTACGGTTATCGCTATCAAAAATTAAATAAACCACATTTTAAATTGTATTTTCAGATATTGTGAATGTGACGGCCCTAAATCCACAATCAGGTCAACAGTCCAGCTCAGCTACAACTGTTCATCTAGTCACAGGAGCTGTATCCACACCTAAACGTACCCCTTCATCTTCTAGTAGTGTCAGCCCATCTGGGGGCACCATCCACCACCACGGTCAGAGCCCTACTAGGGGTGGGCAGCCACCTCTTTCCAACCTACAGCAAAATAGACTCAGTATGAGTATAAATCAACAGGCTCAACAACTGGCTCAGAAGCGCTCCAGTCAGGGTGGCGCCGGCAGCAATCCTGGAACTCCTGTATCAAGTCGAACTCTGATTGACGCAAGACATTCGACTCATCCAATCGGAACATTAACATCTCCTCCCTCTCGTGTCGTGACCACACCCACAGGACAACCTCCCAGAAAGAAATTAAAACTTGAAGAAAAGCCTCCAGCAACCCCCGAAGTTGGCCGACATCGTAAAATGATTCTAGATCAGCATTATAAAACACTTAGTGAACTCAAGGAAAACTGTATTGAAAATTTAACGGAACTGTTTTTCCTGCAACATTCTGGAAATATGATGGACTTTCATCAGTGGAAAAAGCGCCCCACCCCTCAATTAGTTCAGTTTCTAAAATCCAGTAGTTTTGATTCGGATGAGGAGGAAGAACATTTACAAGAAAAACGTATCAATGATGAAGTAAGTTTTGCTAGACTTCTTAGTGTTGATTGATGGTAGTTCAGTGGTATATCTCGTATCCAATAATATGTCTTTTGTAGAGGAGTTCTTTGACAATATTTTGTTAACTTAATCATATTTAGGCAAGCTAATAAATCGATATTTTTATAACAGATCATCTAATGCTGCCAAGGCTCAGTGTGTTGAAGGCTGTGCCTATTTAGCTTCATTGAAAGTTCAAAATCAGAAAAGAGTAATCCATTGTTTTGATAAATTTTCCTCATTACTCAATTCGATGCAGAAAATCATGTCTAAATCCTAAATCCCTTTTAATCATTGAAACCTTAAATAATTATGATTAAATAAGTCAATAATTTGTAGATATGTAGCACATACAGGCCTAAAAATTTGTATAAGTCAGTGAGAATGCTGATAGTCGTCTGAATACTGTACTTTGAATTTAAATACAAGCCTTGAATTTCACATTTTTTTGGTATATTTTCAGGTGAAAGTATTAACGAGTGCTGGAAGTAACGTACCGCTAGCGACACCTATCGCCATCTCAACCACCCTACCCCCGTCAGTGTCGGCCCTGAGTCAACTAGGTATAAAAGTCTTACAAGCTCCTTACACTAACACAAACCCTAATCTTATCTCTGATCATCAGAAACCTACCATCCAGGATTTTTTGAAACAACTCTCTGCATACGCCAAGGGTATTAAGCAAAATTTTCATATTCACTCATTTTTTATTGTTGCATGACGTTGTGGACTTTATCGGTGTTGTGTCCGTAAAAATTCGTAGTGTGTAGATAGATGTCGCTTCTGTATAAATATGATATAGTTTGCTGCTTACTGTGTTGATTTTTTGGTGTCGTCAAAAGTTTAAAGGGATGATTTATGAATATTCTTGAAGAAACTTTTTCCAAGAGTCTTAAATTTTGTGACAAAATTAATTCCAAATAACAGAGTTTACAGATGTGTTTTCTTGATGCTTTTCACTGAGCTAAGTAGTTGCAATCTTTGTCAAATTTGTGAATTTTTTTTCTATGTTTCTGCACATTTTAGTCTAGATGTGTTATGTTTATTAGAATCTTGCTTTGGTTTTAGGGCAGCCATTTTTCCTCCTGCATTATTAATGCTTTTGAATTGATCTTGATATTAAAATGCAGTTAAGTTGGATGAATATTTGTTTATGGCTTTTTGGCTCACTGAGTAAGGATTTCTTTAGTTCATTTATCAAAAATGAAAAGTTTCAGACAGATATGAAATATGGAGTGCTATGCAGAGTTTTTACCAGAATTTACTAACCTATCTATAAATATTTGCTTAAATTTCCTGTAAAAGCATGAAATATATATTTAGTTTAGTAGATATTGTAACTTGTTCAATTTTTGATAGAAATCTTTTAATATAAAGAAACAAAGTATTATATGCATTTTCTCAATGTCAAGCAAATACTTACTTCAAACTTATACCTTGACTGCAATAGCCACTATTCTTGTATCATGGAAGTTTGTATATGAAGCGATTGAATTGCACACAAGCAAATACAGCCAATCATACGTCTGTACAGAAAGTTTGAAGACAAGGCAATATTGTAACAACAGCTGTATTCGCTGGCGTGCAATCCAATCAAATCAGATCGCTGCATTCTTTGATACAAGAATAGTGGCTATTGCAGTCAAGGTATAACAACAAAGTTCTTAATAGCTTGAGTTTGTGATGATATATGCATATTAAAATATATTTTAAATACCAAAATATAAATGTTTTCTGAATTAGTGATCCCCATTGGAAGTTGTAAAAGTTTTGCGTTGATTGTTGTAGGCTCAGAGAATAAACTGATTAAAAGTGGACAGGCAAGTGGAAGTAGGTCACCAGGTTCTGCTTCAGGTAATTGGATGTTGATTCTATGTCGTTAGGTTGATCAGAATCTCAGTTGTTAAATTGTAATTTTGAATTGCTGTGGCACTGATCCTTGCTCTTGCAGCCTAAAATTGCTAAAAGACTTTGGAGCAGGTCCTTGCAGGGTTAAGAAATTTAATTTACTCTTGTAGCCTAAAGTTCCCTAAAACCTAAAACCCTGGGAGTTAAGGCTTGGGTAATGGCTAACAAAAACCTTTCCTCTTATCTAACCAATTTCCCTATCCTCTAAAAACACAGTAAAGACCACACCCTATCCCTGTTTTGACCAATAAATCAAGTTTATAATATGTCATATCATTTGATACTGTCGTGATTAAAGAAAATTATCTGTGCTTTCAAAGTGCTTGTTTTTTAAAGTGATACTACGTCTTATAATGAACATAAAATTTAAGTTCTCAAGAATGGTCAATATGAGTATATATTCATCAGTGAACTTACCTACTGTCATAAAGTTACAACATCCCTGTAAAAATCTCGAAAATTCATAAAACTTAGTAATTATTGAAAAACGCTTAATTAATAGTTAATTTAATTTTTAAGGATAATAACTAAGTTTTTTTGATTTACGGTTTATATAAGGATGCGGTTATGTTATTTATTACACCAGGTATATCTACTAGGGAAAACTTGGGAAAGATGTCTAATTATTATTGACCTTACCCATACTGTCAAAAGTTCTTAAATTGTTCTTCCCATTATGGAGTGACCAGTTCATTATCACAAGTGTTAATATTTTCCTTCCGGTTTCAGGGTTACCAGTTCAACCTACAGCAGTAGGAGAGTTGACGACTACAGTTGATGTCTCGTTAACGTTACCTAGCTCTGTTATTCTGTCTACTGCCACGCCTACAGCCAGCTCCTCACAGTTACAGATACACCTAGCTAAACACATGACTCAACCATTATCTATTAAAACTACTCAATCTTTAAAAACACCACTCTCTTCTCCGTAAGTATATTTTGAGCAATTTTCTCATCTGTGTGATATGAAATTTGATTTTATGTAGGCACATTAATCAGATTACTGAATATTTTTAAATCTGAATCCACTTTTGGCTCCTGCATTTGTGATAAGCATCTTTGTTATAATGGATTTTCTGTGCTCTCAGAATGTGCCTTGTGCCCTTTTTGATTTCGATGATTTGGTTTAGATGTGGGATATAGGCAATTAAATGAGATTAATAGCTTGTGTATATTTAGAAAAAAGTTTGGTCTTATAAAGGACAAGAGAAAATTAGTTATTTTGAATTTCTTTCAGTGGTATAGGAAATACTTCAGTCAAGTTAAAATCTCCGCCTCTATCACCACGACAACATACCAGACAACAGTCTATATCAGCTGTGTATGATAGTTCTATAGGATCTCAGGAAGCCATAGTAGAACGTGCCAAACAGGTAGGGAAAATATGTATTTCTTACATAATCTGTATTACACCTGCACGTTAAATTAGCTTGAAATGCTATAATCCTAGCAAAATTTCCCTCATTGCACACTGCTTGGCAATGACGGTCATCATTAGCCCAATCCAATCAGGTGCAGTAGAATTTTAGGAAATTCATACTGTCTGCATTTTCGGGTAAAAATATCATTTAATAAATGTAGACTAGTGTGTTAAAATTATGATTTATTATTTTGGCTACGGAACATTTCTGAAATTTATTACAGGAAGCACAAGTAATGCAAAGAGTAGCTGAAATGAGACGTGAAGGATTATGGTCGTCGAGAAGGTTACCGAAAGTTCACGAACCTGCACGAAACAAAGCACACTGGGATTATTTACTGGAAGAGATGCAGTGGCTGGCCACTGATTTTGTGCAGGAAAGAAAATGGAAGAAAGCGGCATGTAGGAAGGTGGGTTTGTTATTTCTTTGTACTTACTTCTCAAGGGAGCCTCAGTTGATCTGTCAGTGTGTTTTTTCTTTGATAGCTTATTGAGTTTAATCGCTTACTCGCTAACGTGAAGGTACAGGGTTCAATCCCAGCATAGTTTGAGATAATACCTTCAGATTTTTCAATCAGGTTTTTTCCTGTCAGTGTCAGACTGGAAGATTTGACATGGAAAAAAAGGCCTAGTCAAGGTGCATAAAAATTGGATTGAAAACTCCATTAATTTCAGTAATGATTTTAACTTTCCAAATTTTCTTTGCAAATTAAAACAAATAGTTTGTATCCTCAGAAAACCTAGTAAAAATGTTATATTTATTTTCAGATAGCGAGAATGGTAGCTAAATATCATCAAGATATAGAACAGAAGGAAGTCAAGGCAGAGAAAGAAGAGGCTCTAAAAGTGAAACGTATTGCCTCACAGATGGCTAAACTAGTGAAAGAATTCTGGTCTAATATTGAAAAGGTCAGTTAATTTACGCAAATGAATTATAGTCCTTGCACATTCTATGTCTGTAAATCATAACTGTTAAATTGCTTTAATGAAAATAGAAACATGTTTCAAAACAGTACTGCTAAGAATGACTTTTTGTTGACCTTTTTTTGTTAGCACATATCACTTTGAATGTTTTTACACAGGAAATTTTTCAGGCCAAATTTGAATCATTTTCTGTTGAAATTTCTATCCAATATTCAACTTGAGCATCTTTGCATAAGTTAGCAAATATTAACCTAAATCTTTCCTTATCTTATATCAGGTAGTGCAATACAAACAACAGTCCCGACAAGATGAACGTAAAAAGAAAGCGTTGGACGTTCATCTTAATTTTATCGTCGATCAAACTGAGAAATATTCGTCATGGTTAACAGAAACATTACATCAAGGCAGCAGTGTTGGTCCGTCATCTGTTAATGGTTCTATTTCTTCACCAGCTCATTCTAGTGAGGGAGACAGTAAGTAGATTGGGTTTTTTCCCTCATTGCACAATGCATTGTAGTGTCTGTCTTTATTAATTAAGTCATTTTGGAGTGAGCAGAAATGTAGGCAATATTGACCCGAGTTAATGATATAGGTTTAATAGAAACAAAATAAGGTTACCTAGTTTTAGAACTAAGTAAAGATCAAGCCCCTACTTGTGTAGAAAGGTGCAGAAAAGTAGGATGTAAAACTCCATTCATTTCATTTCTTGTGTAGAAAATAATTTTGTATGCTTTGTGAGGCACTTTTGAGAGTCAGCCCAGTGTCGGTTTCTAATAATTTTTGTAGTTTCTCAGTTTGGAGAAGAATTATTATTTATCTGTGTGTTTTCAGTGGAATTTGAACCAACAGGAAGTCTGACTGATGATGAAGAAACTATAGAAAAAGAAGAAAATGAATCGGGACTTGATGATGTAAGTTTTGTTATATAATCATAAAAAAATTTGCTTTACCTTGCTCTAAAGCTCAATAGTAGGGAAAACTGTCGTCATGTACTAAATGTATATTACATGTCTGATTTAAGTAGGACAAATCATTCTAACATTAGTGAGAGTTTGTGCAAATGAATGCAGATATTCTGGAAGATATCAATGCCAAGAAGTTTGGCCACGCCAGCTGGCAGACAGAATCCCATGTTCTCCTTATATTCTTTCTTTTAATTTAACAGGAATCTACTCAGAAAGAGTTGGAAGAATTACAGAAAGAGAGTGAATTACCTATAGAAGATTTATTAAAAACATTACCCTCAGAAGTTTTAGACACCCCTGCCCCATTACCTAATCCTGATTCTAGTTCTGATGAAGAGGTAGGTTCCCAAAATTTGTGTTTAACCAGACTTTATGGCTTATCCAGAGATCTGGAGTGACTCAGAATTGCTTGCTCACTTACCATGGGTGAAAGGGGTTGAGTTTTTAAGTGATAAAATCTTTAGATGGTTCCAATTGGATGCTCCTCGTGAGTGGAGCAGGTCAGAGTGGAAAACATTTTAAAAATGACTAGTTGTTCAGATGAGAAAATGAATTTCAAGACCCTTTGTGCTAAAGCCTTAAGCCAGACACTGATTCAGAAAGCTTGCATTCCCTGCTCAATAAGATCACACAGAAGTAACCCTTTGTTCTGCCCATTATTCTTGACTCTGCCATATAGATGGACGTATTTAACTGGGTGACGTATTTAACTGGGTGTAACTGCAGTGTTTAGATTGTTTCTGAATTGTGTTATTTTAGGAAAAGGGCAGTGATTCTGAATTTAAAGCCACCCAAGAGGATGAAAAGGATGTAGAAGATACAATTGAAGAGCAGGAGAAACATGAAAAAAATACTATGGAAGAATTAAATGAACTGCAAGCTGAAGGTATGACTAAGTTTTTTTTACATGAACATTGAAAACGTAGATTTGACATGGGAAAATGAAGATGGAAATTTTCTTGGTAAAAAAATTAGATGGATTAAATCAACATATGTTAATTTGTATGATTAATAGTTATCTTGATGAGTCTGTTGGTCTTTCACTAAAACTATGTTGTATGAAGTCACTATTCCAAAAATTATACCTGAGGGCCTTTACAATAACTACTTGGGATACATATCAAAAGTTAAGAAAGGCAGTGTGGGTTAATATAAAATTATCAAGTTAATAATGATTTCTATTTCTATATTAGGTGAAATGTCTATAGAGGATCTAGTAAAGAAGTATGCTGGAGCATATGACAGTGATTTTGAAATGCCACAAAGTGAGGAAGAATCAGACGAAAGTACTGATGAAGAATCCGAAGGTATGTTTTGTTTTCTGGTCCCTGGTTCTCCAAATAAATCTTACGATTTCCTGATTGTGTTTTTTCACAGTATAGAGCAGTGTTATGACTAATTATTATCATTCTAAGACAAATAGGAGTTTATTTTAGAAAGATTCTTTTGAGCAAATCAACTGATTTTCACTCAAGGATCATTAATTATGCTTTTGAGGTTTAATCCAATCAAAATGTCTCATTTAAGAAAGTGCCAAAGAATCTTCGTCATCTGAAGAGGAAGAGGAAGAAGATGATATGATGGAGTCTGATGTTGGTCTGGATTTCTTATTAAAATCACAAGATGAGGCTTCACCTCAAAAGGTAGACTAATATCTTCTGACTTTGATCCTATGTATTAGGTGCCTGAGTGATGTAGCGAATTAAAATGCTTGCTCACTAAGTGCAAGGTCTAGGTTTCAATCTTGGTATTGGTGAAGGTAGTGCCTTTGTATATTTCAAACCGTTTATCCTTGTCAGTAATGCAGGATGGAGGAAAAATTGCCTACCCGTCTTCAAGCCCAGATGCAGAAAAGTAGAACACAAATCGTCCTTCTTTTTACTATCCCACTCAGTGGATTGATACAATAAAACTAGCCTTATATTGTTTGCAGCATTTCAATTAATTGCATTTTATTTTTTCCAGCCTATAGAAGTAAAAGAAGAGACAGGTCCTGGTAAAGAATTAACAGATGCAGCAGCCGAAGCTCTCAGTTTACAACCTAAAGGTTATACTTTAGAAACTACTGAGGTAGGCTAATAATTAGATATTTAGACCAATATGACTTGAGTTGTCAGGGATATAGTCTTGATACATCAGCTTCTGATGGAAGCAGACATAACCATCATTTACCAACCAAGTGGCTAGTGTCCTGACGGGATCTGAGTTTACAAGATGGCTTAGATTCAATGATTAAACACGCTCAAATAAAATTCACAATTTACTAAACTGAAGAAATAATGTAAATAGCCCAGTCTCATGTGAAGACTTAGCATCAGAACTGGAACCAGTTTCAGTGACGCTTGTATCAGTCTTCGGAAATGGGTAATGATAAGATTGGGCTAATTCCTGTTGTCTTTTCTTGCAGGTGAAAACAAAGGTACCGTTCCTGTTAAAACATACATTACGAGAATATCAACATGTAGGTTTAGACTGGCTAGCTACTATGTATACTAAAAGACTCAATGGTATACTGGCTGATGAGATGGGGCTTGGTAAAACTATACAAACTATCTCTGTCTTATCTCATCTTGCTTGTGAAAAAGGTGAGTAGTTTTTGGAAGATTAAAAATTGCAATTTGTTTTTGCGTGTACACAGGTACCAGAAAGTTAATTCAATAGACTCTGGAATATGAAGAAAAGTTAAATTAGCATTATATTTTAGCAGGAAATCCTGAACTTTTACAAGAGAATATCCTTAGAGAAATTTGAATCTTGCTCCACTTGTTTCTTCCTGTCTCTTCTGTCTTAAACTTGACATCATAATAATTGGAGGGAATTTATTATTTTTGAGCCTTATGTTTGAAGGATTGTCTAACATGCCTGGATGTTGAAATATGAAATGTAAACTGTTTATTTTGTTTGTTTAGGTATCTGGGGTCCTCATCTTATCGTAGTACCAACTAGTGTCATGTTGAACTGGGAAATAGAACTCAAAAAATGGTGTCCAGCTTTTAAAATACTGACGTATTACGGTAGTCAGAAAGAACGAAAACAGAAACGCACAGTAAGTTATCAATTCTTCATCATACATTTCAACCAATCAGATTTATTGATATTTGAAAATTAAACGTTGGTCTCAACCGCATTATTGGTGTGTAAACGCAATTGATCACGTGACAAACTGAATAAATGACAAACCATTGTGAAGATGAGTAAGGCATAAATTCATTGGCAGGTGGAAAGATAACACTTTTGATAATTCTTTTGTTCTGACAGAATTTCCCTGCATAGCCTTGCCATAAAGTGCATTGGACGTAAAACTCCTGAAGATATTAAGAAAACGAGGTTAATGACACAATTTTGATATTTATTCAGGGTTGGACTAAAACGAACGCATTCCATGTTTGTATAACATCATATAAACTAGTTATACAGGACCATGCTGCCTTCAGACGTAAAAAATGGAAATATTTAATTTTAGATGAGGTAAGGGAGAATGTTATAGATATTACTATATTTTCACAGTTATTAATTCATATTTGTTATATTTTAACATAATTTATGGCTGAAAGTAGCTTGCAATTTTCTTTCAGTTGCAAAAGTATACATTTAACGCTTTGTAATGGAGAACAATTCCTGCTGCTTAAGATATGAAAGAAATGTTAATGAAGTAACCTTTTGAAAAATATTTCATCTTAGCTAGCAAGTAGGCTCAACAAATTGGCTTTCTATTTTCTAGGCCTCTTTATTGTTGATACGAAGTTGAGAAATTGGATGTAAAACTCCATTCATTTCATTAATCATAACTTAATAATTCAGTCAAACTAAATGAAAGGATTTGTGTGTCTTTTTAGGCTCAAAATATCAAAAATTTCAAGTCACAGAGGTGGCAGATGTTGCTGAATTTTCAAAGTCAGAGACGACTGCTGCTTACTGGAACACCTTTACAGAACAGTTTGATGGAGCTCTGGTCTCTGATGCATTTCCTCATGCCCCACGTATTTCAATCACATAAAGAATTTAAAGAATGGTTTGCCAACCCCATGACTGGAATGGTAGAAGGTAGTCAAGATTATAATGAAGGTTTAGTCAAACGATTGCATAAGGTTCGTTATCTTTTGAACTTTGTTAGCGTTCAATTGGTTAGTTATGAAACCTCTGGTTTATTCAATGAATCCTGAAAGTGCAGAACTCCACAAACGAGCGCCACCTCAAATGTTCTGTTGAGGACTGAGTTTTCTAGGATAGCTAGAGAGACAACACTCTCAATGAAATTCTGACTGCCATCTTTATTCAGACTCTCCAACTATCTGGCAAGTTAGATAACTTTTGATAAACATATCTAAGACTACTATATTATGAAACAAACATTATGAAATGAAACAAACTTACTAATAGTCATAAATTTTTTCTAGGTGCTGCGTCCGTTTTTATTACGTCGTTTAAAAGATGATGTAGAGAAACAGATGCCTAAAAAATACGAACATGTTGTGATGTGTAAATTATCTAAACGTCAACGTTATTTATATGATGAATTCATGGGACAAACAAAGTAAGTTGACATCTGTATTGTATAGTTTGATTAGAATGAGGTAGCAGGTTGCATTTTTCATTGAAGGCTTTATGCTGTGTACTTTCAATTTTGATTTATTCAGAGGTGACCATTAATGATAGGAACTTGAAAATTAGCTAATTTAAGTATTTACTCCACCAATTAACTAAACAGATAAATTTTGAAAAGTAAGAGGCAAGGCAAAGGCAAGAATTGTCTATCAAATTGACACATTCTTTTCTTGATTTCAGAACCAAAGAAACACTAAATGCAGGTGATTTTTTAAGTGTTATTAATGTATTAATGCAGCTACGTAAAGTTTGTAACCATCCTAATTTATTTGATCCTCGACCGATTGTTTCCCCATTTCAAATGGAGGGTATCGTCTACCACACAGCTTCTTTAGTACTCAAAGCTTTACAGTATGATCCTTTTAAGGTAAGAATTATTCATATCTTAGGGTACTGTTGCATTATCTTAATCCTTAATCCTAATCTAGAAGCAAAATTGAAATTGTGTGATATTATTTTTAGAATACAAGAATGGTTTTCTAGCTTTGGTATGTGTACAAATATGGGGACATTTAATTTGTACCATTCTAGTCAAGTAGTATTGACAAAGATTGAAACCCGTTTCGTCCCCCTGCCCATTTTCTGAGCCACCTCTTCCTTCTCTAAAATTGCAGAGATTGAATATGTCAGATAGGGAAATCAGAATGGTGCTAGTATAGAGAGAACATTTTAACAATGTAAACATTATATTTATAGGAAGTAGACCTGCGATGTTTGTATCCCAGTTTATCTGAAATGGAACTAGACCTACCAGCATTCGTAGCTCATAGAGTTCGTAAATTACAAACACCACGGAAACTGATCGAAGAGATTGATGATATAGCGGACCCTCCCCCCAGACCCAAACCTGGTCGATTAAAGAATTTAAATTTTAGAAGTGCCTCTCCTGCTATTATACAGGTAATGAAAATATTTTGTATCTAGATATTCCATATTATTAGGATGATTTAGAGTCCCAAAATAAATCTTTGATCAAAACGTTTTAATGTGAATAACATGTCCCCAATTGTTGTTTACTTGACAATTTGTTTGATGCCGGTTTCAATCCTCGCGCATGTAAAATCCCTGCTTCAGCCAGTGCTTTTTGCAAGCAAAACACCTAACTTTAAGCCAGTTAGGATTGATATCTACCAGCCGAAAGAGATCTCTATATAACACGACATATCCATTAAACCAAAATATTATTAAAACATGCTTCTAGTTTTAAGGATTTATTGTATTATAAAGGTATTCTGTTGTATAGTTATGACACCAGGTTTGTCTACTGATAAACAAAGTTTGGCCTAGTTTGAAATTTTCAATTTTTTGATGCTTAGAAAAAGTAAACCATTAAAGGTTGCTGAGTACAAGAAACTCTATTGAGAGTTATCCTGGTTTCAATCTATTAGACTAAGACTGAAATTTTGATATTGAAACAATTTAATTTTCAGCCCCAGCCTGGTAGAGCTTCACCTTTAGTTCTTGGTGGTAATCAGAGTAGATCTGCATCACCTGTCACTGTAGTTAGATTGGCCACGCCTACTTCACGTAGTGAGACTCCACCTTCATCTCTAGCCACACCCACTATTAGTAAGTATTTCATTTATTCATTAGTTTATGGACCATGCATTTCAAATCAGCTTATAAAGGATTGACAAATGAATATTTTAAATTTCGTAATGTTGCCGTATTAAGCTGAATGATTTTAATTTCATTGCTTTTTATACGCCCACATTATAATGTGGTCATATATTGTCGTCTAACCGTGGCTACTGCCTTTGATATACTGAAAATTTATTAGGGAAGTGGGCGTATCTTGCTAGGCAACCACTTGTTAGCTATTCAGGCATACATCTTGAGAAACTTGAAATTATTCAATACTGAGGGATTTGGCTAAGGACTGCGCCAAGAGAATATTAATGAAAAAATATTTTAATTTTTTTTAAAGTGTTATGTATTAAACTGAATGATTGTATTTTTGTAGCCCCACAAGCAGTACGACTCAATGTGATCAATCCAACTACCAGTTCAAGCGGCAGTGTTAAAGTTTCTACCTCCTCTACAACCACTGGTAGGTGAAAAATGCAATGTTATGAATATTTGAAAGAAATATGGTTACTAGTTTCTTACTGTTAATGCAATACCCTTTAACGCATCCTTGAGTTTACAATAGAGGAAAGGATTTATTATAAAGGGGAGAGAACTGCTTGGAAAAAACACCCGTAGCTTTTCTTAAAGCTCTGGACACCTGAACCAAGCTACATTATTTACTCTGTTATAAAATTTACAAAGTCTGCCACAATTTGAATCTGTAAGAATTGCTAACCTCGAGGCTCAGTGAGCAAAATAAGTGCTGAACCAAGCTAGATAATTGACTGTTAAAAACTTCGCAATCATCGCGAAAAGATCTGATGGGATTTACGGCTAAATCACAGTGGCTCTTTGTCAGTGAATTTATTCATAGCTTTTGTTATCCTAAATATTCAAAAATTCAATGCTGTAGTTCAGCTAAGGTAGAAGAAGGTCATAATTTGGTTAAAAGTCTTTCTAATACAATCCAAGATAAGACTATAGTCAGCTGAGGTATAAAGCTATGTTAATAGCGTTAAATTTAAATATAATTTCAGGTGTTCTTCATACGTCAGCAGCCTCAAATTCTTTGTCTTCACAACAACCAATCACAGTACAGATACAGCAAACTCAACAAGGTACGAGATTGATGATTCCAACTAGCCAGTTTTCACAGCTTCCAGGTACGTCTTTTATAGTTGGTTTTGTTTTTTTTCTTTTACAGAAGGATTCCAAAGACTTTTATCCTGTTAAAAAGATATTTACATAGTTGAAATCTTGTATACTTGGATCTTTGATAATAGGACTCCGAAAACTTGTATTCTGTTATAAAGATATGTACATAGTTGAAATTCTGGTTTTAATTATGTCCTTTAATTTTGCTCGGAGACTGAGGAAAAAAAGTCAAAAAAGGTGTTATTTCCAAAGGAATTTCGATCCTGCTCGGAAATTAAATGCCATTTATTGTTAAGTGCAAGTAAAATTTCAGGTCATGGGGTTTTTGTTTTTAGGGTTTTTTATACCTCTTTTTAGATTTCATAAAACTTATTTGAATTTTATATTTTGGTTGTTATTTTTCAGCTGGGTTAATTCAAATAGTTCAGACGTCAACTGGTCAACATCTAATAGCCACAAGTTCAGCAGCCACCCCCGTCCAACCTGTCGTACCAGTTCAAAACTCTACATCAGGTAAAATATTCATTCTCAGTGTATTGATTTAAGTGGGTACAAATTTGCTAGTGGAGGGGGAAGTTAGCAAATTTTTTTACCTAGCACCCCATTGCAAAAGATTTCACTGTATTATTTTTATTAACCTGGGTATGCATTTGTTGAAAGAAACTTTGTTGAAATTCTATGTCTATCATCTTTCCAATTTGCCTCGTTATCATATTAAAATGTGTAACTAAGGTTACAGAGTCCCTTGAACGTGTCCTATGATTTATTCATGATAATAGGATTTTATATAATCAAGGGAAAGATAACTGCTTAACTAAAACATCCGAAACTTTCATCATGGAGTTTTGGACACCTGAATTAAGCTACAAATTAATGTTACCCTACTTTATCTCAGATAACTTGAGTATTCTATTCAATAATAAACGTTCCGAACTGAAATCTAAAACATACTGGCAATACATTGGTAGAAGCTAATGAACTTTCACCTGATTGTTAATAGATTTTCAATTTGATCCAATCAATAACTGTTTATTGTTAATTTAATCTCTGCCTTGCTTTTTTTATAATTGCATCAATGTGGAATAGAGATAGCTTACTCGGTAGTGAGTTGGATTGTTGTCGGTTTGGCATGTGGGTGCTACATACGTACATCCCTCTCAAAGTAAAAAAAAAAAAAAAATTCTTAGCCCCAAAAATCTCTGCCCTTTTTGTCAGTCTCAACTTTCCATTCTGCACTGAGGTGACTCGTGGGATGCCTTATCTGAAAACTCATTGATTTTTTTAATTTCGTCTTTTACAGCAGCAAGTCGTACTACCATAGTAACACCTACAACAGTCACATCTGCTACCCCAGTAACACAAATAAAAACATTACCAGTTCAGTTACCCTCAGGTAGTGTTGTTAGTACACAGAAACCTGTCATGAGAGTTCCTCCCCTTACTTCAGTTGATACCAGCGCCACCTCTACTACTTCTGTGATGTCTGCTACACGAAATCTGTCTTCTCTTTCTACAGTTACTGCTGCACAAGGTAGGTTTTTTTTTTTCAAGATATTAGACAGTCATGTAGTTAAGTATCTTTGTGAAGGATAGCGTTATTTACAGGAAATTTTGGTATCTAGATATCTAATTAAAGTTGATCGTATTATAGAAATCCTGGTGATGAATCTAATGATTTGAAATTTATAAAAATCAAATAATAAATATTTGACATCTTGGAGACCTAATAAAGATTCATTTGTAATATACTTTTGCAAGACTTTCTCAGAAAAGTGTTTCACCAACCTATGCCCAAAGATGTGAAAAAACAACTGGCAAGAGAACTTCATCAAAAATACTGTGTTTAGTGTTTGTAGCACAGTTATCACGGGTTATCTAATTTAGACAGCAAGCCCAAAAGCTTTCAAGATGCACTAGACTTGATTAGCAATATGTTTAAAAAATAGGCCAAGTGATGTGAAGTCTTGTTTAAACCAACAAGATTTGGACTTTTGAATCTCATATTGGGATTGTTCCTTCCTGGTTTCAAGAGGATACAAAAGCATACGTGTTTGATATGCAAGTATTACATTCATACTGTACTTGTATAGGATGCTGGGCTTGATTGATAGCCATTTGAGTCGCAGGAGGCATGCATTGTGGCAAAGTTGCTACCATTTCATTGTCCCTGTCCTCATTAGCCAAATTAGGTACAGAATAGAAGGATATAAAACTCAGTTATTTTCCATTTCGTTTATTTCTTTGTCTGAATTTCCTATCTTGTGCTGTTGTATTTTAGCTGCCTCAGCCATTGCTGCTATAAAAACTAACGAACCACAGACCTCGAGTAGCCCAGTTCAACCAGCCCCAGTTGTCACACGGAGAAAATCTAAACCTATACCTCAATCAGAACTACACTTGGTACGTAGATTTATTTCATTGTTATGTGATATACTGATTACCTCTCCTGAAGTACAGTAAAGATATGCTGACTCCTCATTTTACAAATTTCATCTTGTATCTTGACTGCAATAGTCAACTTTAGTGTATCAAGGATTGCAACAATTTGTTTGGATTGTCCGCCAGAGAATACAACCAATCAGAGCCCTTGACAGAAAACTTGTTTGTTTACAGACTTTTTGATGAGGCCTATTCTCTAGGTTTTATGTTTTGTCCTTCATCTTTAATTTCTTTGATTTGTATTGCAGAAAGCATTAAAAGAAAAGCGTGAAAAACACAGGAAGTCTAAACTGGAATTAATCACACGGATCAACAAGCGTCACTGTGATGTTAAGCCTGTTTATGGACAAGATTTATGTGAATCTATTGAAGCGTTCAGTGATTTAGATCCTACGACAGTGAACAGTAATATTTGGCACGGACTTGGAACAGTGTATTGTCGGCATGCAAATCGTTACGATAATTCTCATGGAAATTTCTGGAAAACTACAAGTGCTTTATCAAACATTGTTCACACACCGGAGCAGTATTTGACGGAACTTCAGGATTTATTAGATCGTTACGTGTTTGTAACGCCCCCTGTGACAGTGCCTTCTATAAAAATGCACGTATCCCACCCTCCCCCCTCCTATTTATTGGAACAATCTTATCGTGATAATTACCTCCGGAAAGAACTCTCTGTGTTATCCACACCGCTACATCGTATTACATCTCGGATGCAAGTTATGTTTCCGGAAGTTCGGTTGATACAGTATGACTGTGGTAAGATATTGTTTATTCTATTTTTAAAAGATTATAGGTCTGAGAATAAGACACTTCATTACTGATTTGAAGGTTCTTCCATAGGTTAAAATATACCTTTTCAACCAAGTTCTCTCTGAACAGTGAATCGGAATGATGGGTCATATGCAATGACGCAAATCAGAATGACTTGTAGTAGTTGAATATGTTTTTTGTGTAGGAAAGCATTAAATATTGGAAATTTTGATGTCTAAATATCTAGAAAAGTTAAAGGTGGGAATTTGAATACATTGTCTGGTGAAATGAATCTAATGATTAGAATTTTATAAAAATCAAATAAATTATATTTGACATCTTGGAGACCTAATGAAGATTCATTTGCCTTTTCATTTTGTTTGAATGAACCCCCCCAGTCTTTGACTTTTTACCAGACCAAAAATGGATTTGTGAAGAGTTTTCATAATTTGAATTTCAATTCCAGGTAAATTACAAACATTAGACCGACTTCTGGCACGATTAAAATCAGGTCAACATCGTGTTCTAATATTTACTCAGATGACGAAGATGCTGGATGTGTTGGAAGCGTTTTTAAATTATCATGGGCATCGATATTTACGTTTAGATGGAACCACGAGGGTTGAACAGAGACAGGTAGGGGTTGATTCTTTGTTTTCAATATTAGTTGCCTTTCTGCTGGGCACATAATGACGTGATATATACCTGATTTATATACTGGCAGCCTTTACAAAATGAAGTAAACTTAAAATTGGTTCAAAGTTCAAGTTGATATCACAATATTAAACATTAATATATCACGATATGGGTATATATTGTGATATTTTCTAAGTATGTTTTTTACTGGTTTTTGGAATCTAGAAATTTTAAATGTAATATAAAACAATAAATATCTCTAAAAACACCCCAGTCTTTAACATCATTAAATAAACATCTGTATCAAATATTAAGTTACTTGTTAAAATTATTTAGATGATCTTATCTGGACAATACAACATGATAAATCTATATATCACTATATGGCGATATTTTGCTAATGCCTGAACTTTGCACCAAGCAGAAACATTCAATTGAAAACACCTTGAAATTTCATTAAAATTCTTATTCTATTATTTTCAGGTTTTGATGGACAGGTTTAATGGTGATAAAAGAATATTTTGTTTTATTTTATCAACACGATCTGGGGGTATCGGAGTGAATCTAACTGGAGCTGATACAGTTATATTCTATGACAGTGATTGGAACCCAACAATGGACGCCCAGGCTCAAGATAGATGTCATCGTATTGGTCAAACTCGAGATGTTCATATTTATCGGTAAGTTTTACCATGAGGGAACATTTTTTACAGGCCACAGATGTCCTTTAGGGCACACAGGGCCAGTTACTTAAAATTTCTTAAATCAAAATTTCTTGGAAAGGGGTATTTGTCTCATTGTGACAATTCACACGAGTGACCCTGTTCCTCTCTCTAAATTCTTTCATAAACTTGAGAGGAACAGGGCCCAGGCCTCCATGTCTGCCCCTTGGACCTGCATCTTGGAAAACCAGGGGATCTACTAACAGTTTTTTGGGTGAATTAACCATTTTCTGCCATTTAGACAGACGCATTGAATATGGAATTGTCTCCACAACTTAAAATCAAGAGCCCAATGATTATTCTAATTTTTCGTCAAATGATTCAAGATGAAATCAAACTATGATGAGGGCTTTTTTTCAAAATAATATTAACAAAAACATAAATAATAGAATGAATCTAATGATTAGAAATTTGTAAAAATCAAATAAATTATATTTGACATCTTGGAGACCTAATGAAGATTCATTTTTGCTTGATTGCCAAAACTTGGCAAAAGTCTCAAAATATTGAATAGAATGAATCTAATGATTAGAAATTTGTAAAAATCAAATAAAAGATATTTGACATCTTGGAGACCTAATGAAGATTCATTTACAATATTGTTTCACATTTTTATATTGCAAAGTCGTAAAGTTGTGTCCCTTTGTTTCCTTTTGACCCAAAATTTATGGTTGTCAAAAGTGAGGGATTTTGATCAAGGAAAAATAACATCTAGGAATAGTTTTATGAATCTAATGAATAGAATTTTGTCAAATTCAAATAAATTATATTTGACATCTTGGAGACCTAATGAAGATTCATTTGAAATTGAGGACAGGTTGTAGCGCAGTCAGCTAGGGTGTTGAAATCTTTACATGATGTCAATTCTTGGTTTGCTTTGCAGATTTGAACTTTTTATATTGTAGGTTAATCAGTGATAAAACAATCGAAGAAAATATTCTCAAGAAAGCGAATCAAAAACGTCTTTTGGGTGATTTAGCAATCGAGGGTGGTAATTTTACAACTGCCTTCTTCAAACAACAGACATTAAAAGAACTGTTTGAGGAGCCGTCAGGTTTAGAAAGTCTCGCTGACCAAAAAAATAAAGCGAAAGTTGAAAAATCTGAACCAATGGAAGTTGAAAAAGTACGAGAAGTGGAAACGTCTGCTAAAAATAAACCAGAATCCGGCATCAAGGATTCTTCAGTTCTCAAACAATTCGAAATGGTAAGAAATTTTTTTCAAATCGGCAAAGTTTTTTGTATTTGGAGTCCAAAGGAGGAGTATATTTCATACAAAATCACTCCCCATCCTTCCTTTTTAAACTCACCTTCAAGGGAACATGTACTCTTTGAATTTGATCCAAAGAATGGAATATGAACATATTTTATAGAATGTTTCTTTCTTAACTCAAGCTCAAGGTTTCAATGATTCAATTTTTTGAGGTTTTCAAATGATAATATTTGAAAAAGGCGGATTTATGAGATTCCTTGAACTTTGAAAAACGGCTAAACCTACTGGTATAAAACCTATAACAATGTACATGTAAATTTTAACATTTGAAGAAAAAAAGTTTAATTAGAAAATATCCAAACCTTTCAGGGAATCGATGATTCAATTTTTGAGGTTTTCAAATTAAAATATTTGAAAAAGGCGGATTTATGAGATTCCTTTATTATGTAGAAATTAAACTACTGGTTTTACACATAAAAAATGTAAATTCTCAAATAGGCTTGAAAGACATGCATGTTAACCTTTTGATTTAAGTTTTGGTCATTCGAATGAAGTAAAAATTGTTGCAATTACAGAATTTGCCCAAATATGAATAACAATACAATATAATGTCCATTATTTTAATATTTATGTGATAAGATTTCCAATATTCATATGACACATTTTTGGACAATATAACTCCTTATTTCTTGGAAGAAATTTTGATTCATCAATCTTATCTTCCAGGCCCTGTGTAAGGCAGAAGATGAGACTGATGTTATAGCAGCTAAACAAGTCCAGGCTGAACAGAAAGCCGAGCTAGCAGAGTTTGATGAATCTATTCCGTGGGATGAGAAGGAACAAGAGAATCGTAAAGAAGAAGATGAAGTCTCGAAAGTTGAATTAGAACTAGCTCAGCTTGATAAAGAGGTAATTTGCCTATTTCTTTACTTTATGTCTTTGAAGACGAGAGGCACTGTTTCTAAGGTTGATAGTTGAATTGATAAATTTTGTTAATGTGGAATGTTGACATCGAGCTAGCCCAGCTTAATAAAGAGGTTATTGGCTTATTTCTAAGTATTAGGGAGCTGCAGTTGTTCTGTGAGTTGGATGCTTGCTCACTAACCTGAAGGTCCAAGGTCCAATCCCAAAATAGGTCAAGATAATACCTTCAAATTTTTCAACCTGGTTTCAAAACTACAAAGTTTCTTCTGTAGGCCAAAATACCAAAAGTTGTTACCTCTATATGGTAGCTGTCTTGTGGCACTGGCCTTAAAATAATATTTTATAGAAGACAACACAACTCCTTTATTAGGGTTTGATTTTCTTTTATAAAGACAGAGTTTCTGTAAGTATTTTTGTTATGGTTCAAGTCGTGTATCCTCAGAAGTAGGTTATTGTTTAGGAGAAAAATAAAGAGATCATGTTTAAATTTAACAGTTAAAAGATTTGTAGAAGACAAAAGAGATTGCTTGTCCAATGTCTGTGGGTTTTATCACATTATGACCTCATTTAGTGTAAAAACCACTTGACTTCAGTATTATTTGCTCTTGTGATATAATCTAATTTGACCTGGAATAACGGGTTCTACAGGACTCAAATACTAAAATATAATTAAAGTTATAATTTTCCCTAAGTAATACACATAAAACAGAGGAAACCTCTTTAAAATATCTTTTAGCAGTAGGTTTATTTGTTATTGTTTGCATAGAACTTTCATTGTATCTATTTGTATTGGAACTATTCCCCCTTATAGCAGTGACGGAGCCAAAAGTGGGGCAGAGGGGTACCCCGTCTCAGCTCCGAAGACATGTTTTTCGGGCAAAAATATAACGAGGTTAAAAATTCGGGCAACCTCAGATCTTTCGACCCCCCCTCAGACATAAACCTGGCTCCACCACTGCCTTATACATATTGTCCCAATTGTGGTCAAATTAGAGGGAGGGGTGTTTACTGTTACTATTTTCAGTGTGTGGGCATATATACGGTTCCAAGTTTATTTGCTGTTTTCTTGTTTTTGATATTTCTAAATGTGATCAGATTCTCAAGACCAATGATTATTATAATTTTTCGTCAAATGATATTTCTGTGAAATAAAAATATCCATGAGGTCTTGTTAATATTCATGAGGTTTTGTCAATATTTGTGAGGTCTTGTCGATATTCATAAGGTCTTGTTAATATTTGTGAGGTCTTGTCAATATTTGTTAGGTCTTGTCAATATTCATAAGGTTTGGTCAATATGTGTTAGGTCTTGTCAATATTCATAAGGTTTGGTCAATATTTGTTAGGTCTTGTCAATATTCATAAGGTTTGGTCAATATTTGTTAGGTCTTGTCAATATTCATGAGGTTTTGTCAATATTTGTGAGGTCTTGTTAATATTCATAAGGTTTTGTCAATATTTGTTAGGTCTTGCTAATATTCATGAGGTTTTGTCAATATTTGTGAGGTCTTGTCGATATTCATGAGGTTTTGTCAATATTTGTGAGGTCTTGTCAATATTCATAAGGTTTTGTCAATATTTGTTAGGTCTTGTCAATATTCATAAGGTTTGGTCAATATTTGTTAGGTCTTGTTAATATTCATAAGGTTTGGTCAATATTTGTTAGGTCTTGTCAATATTCATGAGGTTTGGTCAATATTTGTTAGGTCTTGTTAATATTCATAAGGTTTGGTCAATATTTGTTAGGTCTTGTCAATATTCATAAGGTTTGGTCAATATTTGTTAGGTCTTGTCAATATTCATAAGGTTTGGTCAATATTTGTTAGATCTTGTTAATATTCATGAGGTTTGGTCAATATTTGTTAGGTCTTGTCAATATTCATAAGGTTTTGTTAATAATCATGGGGTCTTGTTAATATTCATAAGGTCTTGTTAATATTCATAAGGTCTTGTTAATATTCATTAAGTCTTGTTTAAAATCATGAAATTTACATAATTAATGAATCTAATGATTATACATGGTACGTCAAATCTTTATATTTGAAAACTGGCGGATTAATGAAGATTCTTTATTTAATTGAAATGTCAAAGTTTGGTCCTGCCTGCCCTCTGGTAATAGTCACTTCAGTCATTGTGATCATTGAAATCAAGCAAAGGATTTGAAATTCAATGAAAAATGAATAAAAAGATTATACTTGGAACTGTATGCCTTCAAATTCAGTTATTTGAAGTAAAAATCTAATGAAAATAGGCCAAAATACCAAAAGTTGTTACCTCTATATGGTAGCTGTCTTGTGGCACTGGCCTTAAAACAATATTTTATACAAGACAAACACGACTCCTTTATTAGGGTTTGATTTTCTTTTATAAAGACACCATTTCTGTAACATTGTGGTTTAGCTTAGCAGCGGTTAGGATGTTACTAGATAAGCAAGTTCTGATGTCTGTGGTTACTGACTGTGGTTACTGTAATCCTAGAAAAAGCTGACTGGATCGTTATATTTTGTGTTACAGGTTCTGACAGTTTAAAATGTAAGAAAAGTCAAATGCCAACATTTACAGGGCGTTGGCAATTAATTTGCAAGAGCTAAAAAATAAAAATAAAACTTTTCATTGATTAATTTTAATGTTATTCGACTTGTTTTTTTTCTATTTGGAATTATTACACAAGTTACATTACATAGTCAATCTAGAGGGAAGTTTACAGCTAGTATTGTCAATGTATAAAAATTGATTTGCTGTTAATCAGATTATTAAGTCCAATGATTATTATAATTTTTCGTCAAATGATATTTCTGTGAAATGAAAATATTCATGAGGTCTTGTTGATATTCATGAGGTCTTGTTGATATTCATGAGGTCATGAGGTCTTGTTGATATTCATGAGGTCTTGTCAATATTCATGAAGTTTTGTTAATAGTCATGAGATCTACGTAAATAATGAATCTAATGATTATACATGGTACATCAAATGTTTATATTTGAAAACTGGCGGATTAATGAAGATTCATCTTACCAACATTATTCTCAAATTTATCTGGGATTAGTACCTTACTGGGAAGGGGCTATTCACAAAATTTAGATAAGATACCATCAAGAAATTCAGTCATTTAATTGTCAGAATTTAAAATCTATAGATGTGATTGACCAATGAAACGATTGGAATACTAGAATCATCTTAGGTTGAATTGTTATGAAACAGACTCCTAGGTATAGAACTTTTTAGTTCAAATTTTGACAGCAATATCCTTGGTTAACTATGTATATGTGTATAAGTTAAGATTGTAAAATTATATATTGTAGTTGTCACCAATAGAAAGATATGCTGTGGGCTATGTAGAGGCAGAAATGGAACCAGACGAGGACTCATTTGATGAGGTAAGATATTATTTTCTGCTTTAATTAAAGCTCTAATTCGTCTATCTATACCTCTTTTCAGAAAAAATTATCAGGAATTTGATTTGTTCATTTTACGCCGATAGCTGTGCTTGTCTTGTAAAATCGGATAAATTATGCTGCTCTTGTTGATGTTTCGATCTAAGCACTTAAAATAATTTAAGTAAAAAAGAAAGCTGTTATATTTCTGGGAAAACTGTTTATTATATTCATATTTTAAATCTGGCTTGTGACAATTTGACTTCAACATTGAGATTGATCAGAATGGAATTTGCCTTGTTGCAAACTTCTGTCATTTATGTCTCATCTTTGACAATTTTAGGATGACATTGAGAACGCTAAGAAAGACTGGGAGTTGGCCAGATTAAAGGCTTTAAAAGAAGAGGAAGAACGAAGAGCTGAAATGGAAGAGGATGAAATGTTGTACACATACTCCGTCGAAGATTCACAGGTGAAAAAGAAAAAATCCAAATCTAAAAAAGTCACATCTGATTCTTCGTTAGAAAGTAGTCTTGATATTCCTACGCCAAGTTCTCAAAGAAGTAGTGATAGGGCTCGTAATGTTAAAAAGAAAGTTACAGATATGAATACAAGTGATGAAGGTTCTCGGAGCAAGCCTGGTAGTAAGGTTACCTCCCCTAGTGGCGAAAGACGGTCGTTAAGGACACCCTCTGGTAGTAATCAGACTTCTCCGGCTAAACCTAAATCAACACCACAGGTCAAAGTTCAAGCTAAAAAATCGCCAGTTAAGGCTAAAATAGAACAAGCTAAAAAGAAACTAGAGGCAGCTAAAAAAGTTGAAACTGCCAAAAAGACGCCTGTTGCTAAACTTGTGACTAAGCCAGCAGTTTCCACACCAAAAGTTGAAAATAAAACTTCAGTCAAAGTTAACGTTGTGAGGAGAACACCGCCTGCAAATGCTGCACAGAAATCTATCGTTCTTCCGACAAAGTCTGACCTCAAAGATATGATTTTCTTGAAACTTCCTGCGTCTGCAGCCTCCTTATCTCCTCAGAATACCGTTCTTAATTCCAACGCTGTTCAAAATTCAGGGGACAAAGCCACTGTCAATAATCATAACAATCGCAATGTTTTTGCAGCTATGCAGGATTTGATTCGTATCAATCCCAACACTGTGATCAGAACGTCAGGGGGCACAACTCTCAATCATGCAGGTGCTGTCAATTACTCTCCTGTTACTATTAGTAACGTCTCTAATGTCCAGTCTCAAAAAGGGGCACAACCAGTTCAACTTCCTAAAACCATCATTTTGCAAAATCCCATGACGCCAACTTTTTGCATTAATTCTACTGGGACGTTATCTCGTATCGCTCGCCCTGGTACTATGGGAACACAACAATGTGTCACACTCACTCCTGCCCAATTACAACAGGTGCAACAGTTGAATAATATTGTCACTTCTGGGGCTGGCACCAGGCCAGTTATTAGAGTCCCCTTTGTTAGAACTGCCCAACCTCAAACTGTAAATATACGCTCCCCCATTCAAGTCCCTTCTAATTGTATTATTACAAGCCCTGGCCCCAGGGTGGCCTCTCCTCGCCCTGTCATTGTCTCTCCTGTGGGTAACAACATTGTAGGTTCACCCCCTCAACCTTGGTCCAATCCCAATCTTGTGATAAGAACCCGTAGAGCAGTACAACAGCAAGACCCTGCCTCTCCTGTCATGGTGAACGTCCCTCGTATTGTGCCCATTCAAAGTTTACAAGGGTTGAATTTTAAACCAATGACAAGCCAGACTGTGACGTTGCAACGCCCACAAATAATTTCAACCAGTCAGCTGTCAAATTTTGTTGTTGTTAATCAAAAGAAGCCTGTTACTACAACGATAACCTCTCAACCTAATACAAATGGTCATAGTGTCAATAATGTCAAGGACACAGGTTAAAAGTCAAGGTTACAGACTTGAGGTTAAAGGTCAAAATAAGTGTCACTTAAAGTGCTAATATAAAGAATCAAAATTCTGAAAGAGATGAGCACGTGATCATTCACGTTAGAAAAGAAGGGAGATGCTCATGTTAAAGAGGGTTAAGTAATTTCCGAAGTGTTTCATACGAGGTGGACTTGTGATTGAAAAGGAATTATATGTGATAAGATTTGATCAAAATTGAGTAGAATTCGAACTAAAAACCAAACGTTATGATTTCGTATTAGTTCAGGTTGTCATTAAAAATGCTGATACTTAAAAAATATATTTTCAAAGTCAAATGACGAGAGAAAGTCTCTCAAATATAAGATATGATAAAAATCAAATTCATGCGGTTTCCTAAAATGTGATGATTTTCATATTATGCTTTAAATATTATTACCATTATAAAAAATTAAATTTATCCTTTCCAATAAAGCCCGGTTATTTTTCAATTTGTATAAGTGTAGTCATGTGACGTATAAAAATGCGTATGTTGCGATATGATCAAATATGAGAGAATTGAAGGATTAATATACGAATGCATGTATATGTTAAAAGTTTAGTTAATTGTAAATTTAGTTTCTTTAATATTTTATCACCCCTTGTCGGAAATTTTTCTCGTGAATCGTTAAATTTGGGGAAATTTATCCCTAATTTAATGATTCATAAGTAAATTTCATTAACTAAGTTTGAATTTTGGAGTTTTGTAAATTTTGTTTGTCAATGATGGTTATTGTCAAGTTACAAGATATGTTGATCTTTGCTGAGTATGGTATCTTCAAAGAAAGGCCCATTAGAACGAAAAATTACTTGAAGTATGATCAAATAAAAGTAATTCTCCTTGCAGCACAGTTTGACCTGATATCAAATATTGTTTGTTATAAATTTGCTTGAATTTTTTCCTATTGTGGCAATAGTCAACATATCTTGTAAACTCGATATTAAAAACATTCAAATTGGATCATAGTATTCTTCTGAATTAGGAATGAAAACACATATAAATCTTTTATAAAAGCTAAAAGTTATTTAGAATTATTACTACCTACACTACCTAGAGATACATTACACTGTTTCTGTTTGTTTTAAAAATGATGTATGTGCTTAAATATCTTGATTCAATTTGAATAGTTTTGACTTGAGTATAGATGTATTTTTTGAATGGTTGATATTATTGTTAAATTTGTGAGAGCTCTAGACAAACAATGTGATACATTAATATAGAAAGCAAGATGCAAATTGAATGCAAATAGAAATAAATGAGCTATGAAATTTGTAAAATGCTTTGTGTCTTTTTTATGTGGAATGGTAAAGACGATTAAGGACATTTATCACTTTTACTGAACTTGAAGTCTGTTTTCAGGTCTAATTTTTTTATAAAATGCTTTTTGATTAATTCAGTAATTTTAAGTAAAGTAAAAGTGATAAAGTCTCATACAGCAACACAAGGTTTTGGTGTAAAAACCTCCGCAAAAATTCAAACACTTTCTGTATCTCATTCTATGTAGAAATCTTAAAAGAAAAACGCAATTACTAACGTAAAAGCAGGCCTTTTTGGTTTCAAAAATTTTATCTCTCATTGCATATACAAAGAGAAAATTTAATCAAAAATTTTTGAAATGACATAATCAACTTCAATACATAATTTTGGACAATTTTTATCCAACTTGTTTGATTCAAATCTAAAATTTCAAATCGTCAAGTCAAAACTTTAAAATATTCCTCCATTTTTTTTTTAACGAGAGTTGAACACCAAATACCTTGTTTTATTAAAGCTGTTAATCTTTATATATTCCTACATAAATGAGATGCAGTTAGTGTATCCCTCCACCAGAGAAAATAGTTCTCTGGATTGTCTTTGGTCCTCATGAATTTAGCAATATGAATTGCCCCTGTGCTAGTCATTTCATACTCTGCAACAGTTAAAAGGACAGGTTTGAATTGCTCAGAATGTAGTTTTTATACAGATATTTTAGTTTTGAAGCTTTTTATCAACTCAGCAAATTTCCTAAGATGATTTTGAATTTTTATTAGAAAAATATCTGTGCAGTTCGAACTTGTCCTTAGATACATCATATCCAAAATTGTCACGCCACATTTAATACCACAATCAAAAATCTGGCTTGTTATTTACTGATACAACACTCAAACCAAACAAACATCTATATATATACAAGATAATTAAAGATGCAAACAAAAAAAACTTGGAGTGTGAACAGCTCTGAGTATGGTACAATGGTACAAGACCTTATTCCATAGCAAGCTTGCTAATCTGAGACATATTGCAACAAACTTTTATACACACTGACAAAATTATTTAAAGGTTTTACGAGTGGTTTATTTGGGATATTTTCACACAATCTTTGATGCAATGGCCATGAAATGATTTTGGCACTAAAGTTTAGACTGATGACAACATCCATTGCATCATTACAATGCACCAATCAATTAAGATAATGAACATAAAATGAGTTGACACAATACTACACTGTTACCAAACTTTCTTTACATACATGAATTATAGACTGTACACAGTAAAGATCTTTAGAAAAATCAAAATCTCAAGATTCATGTAAGGGTAGACTTGGTATTGACAAAATTCTCCTTAAGACTCACAGCATCAATACAGACATTGTCATTAGCCAGGAACACAAAATTAGTATTTTAACATCTATTTTCTATCCACAAGTCTTTCAATTTTTTTTAGATATTTGTTAAAACTCAAATCCTGACAATAAAATTCTATTTTTCAGCTGTTTATTTCTGATTTAGATGAAGAAATCATGCCGGTAAGTTCAAGAAATTTTCTAGAATATATCTGGAGCTCCTTTGATTAATTTCCTTAAAACTTGACTAAGATATAATCCAAATTTAGCCAATACAGTCAATACATACATTATGACAAGAGAACATAAGTCATGATTAATTTGTATCCTGTTTTGATTATGTCATTAGACAAGATGACTGAAGAGCCAGAAGTGATATTTCACACCAAAAAAAAACATCTCGTGTTCTGTGCACATAGAAGATCATAAAATGGATCTGACATGTATAAAATATTTAATTGAGTTCCCAAATAGATAGAAAAGACGTCCATTTATCCCTCTTGCAATTCTACCACGATTGAAGGTTGAAATTTGCTATACCCTAATTTTATATCAAAATTACTTTCTTGGCACATAGCTCATTAATGCTTGATGTTGAAAAAGAAAACCTCGTTTCATTCTAGATGTGGGCACCCCCAACTCCACCACAAGATGATAATGATGTATATATTGATGATAGCCTCTTGTTTCTGTATGAACCAAACATGATGTCTGAATCTCAACTACCTCCTGTGTATATTCGTAAAGAACATAAAAAACCTCGTATTGAGACAGTTACCAGTAAGTATTCTTGATACTTACCTTATGAATACATAATGCCACTGGGGTTTGTGAACTTTGTATCAAGAAGAGAGTGTCCCTTTTCTCTCCGAGAGTCTTAACAGCTAATAACAATGATAAAGCTATTAATTATTAATGGACACGATCAAAACTCGTCAGCAAGTAATCTCAAATCCTTGCCTGTGTTCAGTGTATTCTAAAACTAAGTTATACGAACTAAAAAGACACTATGCAATACTCAGAATAACCTTAAGTTAAATGATCAGTTCTGGATAACAAGAATAAGCCGTATGTTTAGAAACCTGATCTAAAATTTTGTCAAATTCTGAGGCCAAAATGTCAAAAAGTGTCATTAATCGTTATTTCAGCTCGTAAACAGAAACAACGTAAAGAAGAACCACCCAGAGTACCAAGATCATTATTCGATAGACCTACAGCAATACAACAAAAACTACGTCGTGAGGCTAAGATGCAGAAATTAAAGCAAGGTTTAGTGAAACCGTTCCGCCCCTCTCAGCCCTTGTTAACCAATAAAACAGTGATGGAACCACAGGATCAGGATATCCCAGAATGGCTTATTCATGAAGATTGGGCTTTATTACAGGTACATTGTTATACATATTGATAAAACTCTGGGGCCTCATTCTCCAAAACTTAGCCATAATTTAAGAAATGGAGTAAGCTGATTAATTGATAAAACTGAATTTAAATAGTGATATTAGTAAGCAGAACACAGGAATTATCATGAATTAAGAAAGATAAGATTTTCATTAACTCAATCAGTAGTAGAACTGTAGGATGTAAAACTTCATCAGTCCAATCAGGAGTAGAACTGTAGGACGTAGAACTTCATCACTCCAATCAGGAGTAGAAAATAGGACACATGAATGAAAACGGGTGTGTTATTATACATTGCTTAATTCTTTTTTTCAGGCTGTCCAGTCTTTATTAAATCTGCCATTAAACCTACAAGTTGTCTCCCCTGCTGTGATAATCAATTGGGATCTGGTAGCAGACGTAGTTAATAGCGGCAGCCGTGTTTATCGTACGCCCAAGATGTGTAAATTCCAGTACGAGAACGTCATCATTCCAAGAGAAGAAGGGAGAATACTCTATGATGTCAGTCCACGAAAACAGAAAAAACAAAAAGGAATCTATAAGGTATGAACATCATTGAAATTTTTTCCTTGATGAAGCTTATGTGAAAAAATTGCTAGTTGCTAGGGACAAATAACAGAGACCCTGTGTGCTACTGTTAAAATATCTTGACGGTTGTTGACTATGCAGTAATGAAGACCATGGAACATTCAATGAATAAGCTCTGGGCAAGGGAAAACATCTGTTGGCTCATCAGCCTGCTTACTATAGCATTGGATGTAAAACTCTACTACATTCATTTATTCAATAAAAATTTGTTCTTAAGCATTTTTAAAGATCCTTTGATAGCTGGAGAGAGTAGGCTAATGCCGCTGTCCTGGCAAAATTTCCGTAATTACGCACTGCATGGTGTTGCCTGTCCTTATTAGCCATTTCAGGTGGAGAAAAGTAAAACATAAAACTCATTTATTCAATTGATATCTTGTTATTTTTCAGTCTCAATTTCCTACGAAGAATAATCGTCCAATGAGAACAAGTCATTTATATCTACAAAATGGAACAAGTGATTTAAAATCGTTGTACTCCTCGCGATTTGATCTGGTGAAAAGTATATCAACGAAGCGCCCTCCCCCGTTACGACAAACCCTAGCCAATCCAACCCTGCGTAATCCAAAACATGCAGCTGTCCTAGAGGAAAATGGTATCAACTATGATAAACCACTGGACCCTCTACAAGTTGCAGCAAATAGAGCTGAGAGAATTGCTCGAGAGAAGAAACAGTCACAGGCTGCAGCTCAAATCAAGGTAAGAAATGAAAAAAATAATTTGTAGTGATGATTAAATTGATGCCTAATTAAAGTGGAATTGCATGAACCATGGAAATCTGATTGAAAGGTGGGAATATTTCTCCAATATGCATATTGTCACCGACACACAAATTATAGAGAATTTTCTTGCAATCCATTTATCACAGTTAACTTTCTTCTAGTCAGATAGAGTTGCTTGCCCCTTCTGTCTACTGTCCTGGGACAGTATGTGGGATGTGCAAGGAAGGACAAAGTTATAAAACATGGCTAAATCCTCATTCATTATTGGAAGGAAACCAGTTGAAATCAAAGAAAAATGTCAGTAGAAACGATTTTCCTTAACCTCAGAATTATTTGATTTTCTTTTCAGCAAGCGACAGAAAGAAATCAGGCAGCTGCTCAAGCGGCAGTGACAGTAGGTGCTGCAGTTTCCGCTCCGACGATAGCCCAGGCTGTCCAGGCTCAACAACTTCAACCTCTAGTAACAGGGGCTACAACGGTCATGGTAGGTTTTCAATTCTGTTTTCTCAAAAGATCTTGATTTTTTGTCATATGACAAGATATTTAGAGAATATTTATGACAATAAAATATGACTGAACTTTAATCTTTGATATCTGGCCGAATCCAACCTCTGTTTGAAAATTTCATCTTTGGCCCATTAAGGTACAGAAAAGAAGAACGTAAAACTATATTCGTTTCATTTCTAGTTGAAAATTCTTCCCCTAGTTGAAAATCTCTTACAAAACCTAGAAGTAATTTTTGTGCTCCGTCACTTTTATCAAATAATCTGCACTAATTGAACAAATAAAAAAATCCCTTCTTTCTTCAGCAATCTGGAACAGTTCAGAAATTAGGACAGAATGTAACGGCCGTGTCTATCGCTAGAACTATCGGAGGAACTGGTAATATTATCGTCAATACCCCTGGTACACCAAACTTCGCTACTATAACCAAGGGTATCAGTCGGGCTGTTACAGTAGCTCAACCTACTTCTATAGTAAGTTTACTTTCTCTTTATTGGTCAAGATTTGTCGCTCGTTGAGGAAAGACACTAGATCATAAAACTGGAGGCATTTAGTTTGATTCCATCAAATGGCATGAATGAGGTTTCACTTACCGGTCAAACTGGCTAAGATGAATAAGTGTCTAGTTGTTCAGACAGTTATGTGAGCTACAGACTCTAAACAATGGAGCTAATTTCATTCTCTTGGCTCATTTTTTCTCATTGCACACTGCATGATGTTGTCTATCCACATCAGCATAATGAAGAGCAGAACTAGTTCTTTATTTTGACCATGTATTTTGAATTTTAGGCAGTTACCAGTGCATTAGGCCAGACAGTACGAGCGGCTAGACCAATAGAATTAACAGCTATAACTACTGGAGGGCAGACGGCACAGGTTGCAGGGCAGACGCGAGCGACATTACAGGCAGGCACCAATACCACTATACCAGCTCAACGTATAGCACTCACTGCAGGTTGGTAGATTATTATATAGGTTGGGGGTGGGAGGCCACAATATGTGCCACAGCAAGCTCTACAAAAAGTTAATTTTGACAACAGACAATACATTAAAAAATCATCATAACAATTTCACTTTACCAGTGGGAATGGGGAGAGAGTTAAACTGGCTGGGTTCAATCAATGCTAACCAAAGCAAAAATTTACAAAAAAAAATACTTATGGCCAATAAGGTCAAATTGTTGCAGAATTTGCAGCCATTCAGAATTTCAAATTTTTTTTTTTTTTACTGCAGCCACAGTTCAACAGCAGTTAGCTCAAGCAGCCATAGCGAAGGGTCTGTCCCCCCAACAGATAAATATCCTACGTCAACAACAATCTATTGTTAGACAGCAGAATCCACAGTTACGTCAACAGAAATTCAACATCACTGTAAGTTAGAGCTCGAGTTAGCACACAATATTGGATGATAAGATTTCAAAAGGCTGAAGCCGAGTCAAAAAGTTTACTATATTCTCAGAAACTTTACTGAACTGAATATTCGGGTTTCAGCCATCTGATTGGTCAGTCACTTAAGTCAATATTATTCTTAGTTAAATTATCCAATCAGATTACTGTATTTCCGGATGTCTGGAATTTATCTTATTTAAGTTCCAGCTTGTAGAAACTAAGTTGTTATCATTTTAAAATCAATAGCAAGAAGTTTGACCAAGGATCTGGAAAAAACTAATGTTTTTGAAAACTGTATTATGTTATATTTTAGGCTGATCAAATCAGACATCCTGTGAAAAGGTTACCCAATCCTCTAGCTGGTCAGAAAGTCATCACCACTCTTCAGATGGTAAGTTGACTATGAATTAAATTTGTCAGGAAACTGAAGGGATTGCCTTGCCTAACCTTGCTGTACACAAAATGAAATTGATTGTATTAAAAGGTGGATATGATATCTACACCATAAACCAATTCACCAATTTCAAGTTGTGCTACTTTTCACCATGTAAAAACAAAGATAGTGTTTGATGGAACCCATATTTCTGTATAAAGGATGGTGTAAACTCTACGATTTTTGCAAGCTGTCGATCAACTAAATTGTGGAAACTTGTCATCAAAATATTTTGGGAAAATGCCTGGTGTACAAAAACCATTGTCAGCTCAAAAATTAAGAGAGATGAATTCGTGGTTAGATTTCCATACCATTTCATAAGCAAAGAACAGTAGGATATAAAACTCCATTTCATTCACAAGCTCAACAAATTATATATCTTGTCTAGGGTCAGAAAGCGGGAATGATTCGAACAGAACAAATCCAACAGCTACAACGTCAACAACAGCAACAGCAACAACAGAGATTGTTACAAGTTCAGCAGAAACCAGCTACTAGTGGCGCCACCTCTACTGTAGGACAGGGGCAGATAACTGTACAGGGTGCTTCAACTCAGGTTAGCTTCTAATTCAGTTCATTATTTTGATTCCTTTCTAAATTTTGGTTGCAAATTAAAATGATTTTGTGACAGTGCCAAATGAATGGTGTTTGATCTCTTAAATCTTTTTCAAGAATTTTAATGCAAATTTTGTAATCTTGTGCCAGGGCGCTCAAAATGACAGTAAATTGAATTTCCAAAACAAAAGAAAATGCACTAATTTCAATATGATTTAACAAATTATTTTCCTTGTAGCACCCCACAGCACAGATAATAGCTCAGACACAAGGGGTAAATATTACCCCTGGGACGTCACAAGCCCCAGTAGTAACCTTGGTGAAATCAGCCTCTGCCCCCAGCCCTGTTAATATCAGTGTGAATGTGGGTCAACAGAAACATGTCCTCAGTGAGTGGAATTTTGATAATTTAACTATATAGATGAATAAGTAAACTTATGATTAGACTAAAAATTTCTCAATAGGGACAGTGGAGGTGGAGTGTAAACTTCCAACTAGCCTTCATCTTCTATCTGCCGCTATTATAAACAATATATCTTTATTTTAGCAACAAGGGGAGGTACAGCCACGCCTCTGACAACTGTCAATCAAAAACTTGTTTTAACTAAGAGAGGTCATCAGTTACAAGCTGCTCAAAAAGGTCAGTATATTAAAGTTTTTATATGACATTCAGTGAATCTCACTAGAATATATATAGACACAGCTTTTTGGAACAAAAATTACTGGTTAAAGTGGTATTCAACACTGTAACAGATTAAGAGTTTTCTAAATGATTATGTGTATTGGGGACACTGATAGCATCGATTTGCACCATTTCAATTTTCAATCAGACATCTGTAGTTCTTGCAATTCCACTTAAAATGTGCGTTTTAAGACGTCACTATCGCAAAGATCCTTATACATCAATAGCAGCTTTTGCAATAGTGACTTCATGAATTCTTTAGAGGAAATTAAGATACAAATTGATTTATATTTTCTGTTTTCAGCCCAGCTACAGAAAGGCCATATCCCCCTGATCATTCCCAACCAGAAAATAGGACAACATCTGTCAGGGCAGCAGATTCTTCATCATTTGGTCAAACACCAGGGTGGGTCTATTTCACAGATTATTCCTCAAAATATCATCCCGGTTTCCTCTACGGGACAACCCACCCAGATGATAACAAAAGTCTGTATAGCAACCACAGCACCTTCATCACAAATCCAGACGTTAGCAACAGCTGCTTCACCAGTTACCGTGACTCCAGTACCTCCTGCGTCTGCTGGACAAATTCAAACAATTAATGTTTCAACGACGTCTGCTGCTTCAATCATGAAAACATCCATCCCATCATCTCAGGTCACTACAATGCAGGTTCGGACCGTGCCTAGCAGCATGACGTTATCCCAGGTCAAAAATACTCAACCAATGACTCACAGCTTAGTTACGCAGCCTTTACATCAAGTTCAATCAGCGTCGAACATTCAGCAGATACAGGTCAATATTCCCTCTACGACGGCAGTGACTCAAACTCCATCACCTGCCACGACAGTACAAATACAGCAAGTAACGCCTGAACCTCAACAAATTACTATAGAGTCGCCATCTGTCCAACAATCACAAGTTTTAGCTCAGTCTGTACCACAACCTGCGGCTAACGCTACCGTAGTAACCACTCAAACTCAAGTAGGACAGCAAGCTACTAAACAATATGGAATGAGAACTAGAAACACCAAATAGGAGATATTATGATTTCATTACATTGAAAGAGGACACTCATCATGTGATAAGAAAAACAGTAAAATAATAACTTTTTTCTCTACATTGTATCAGCTGATTGTACTCAATAAAACTATAAAAACAACTTTTTCTCAACATAAATGCAAATGTAAGGTGTCCTTTCTCACAAAATATCAAAAACATAAAATAACAAAACATCCTTAAACAATTTTCATAGTCTATCATTAGTTTAGTGTGATGTAAAACAGTCAGATGTAAAACAGTCAGATGTAAAACAGTCAGATGTAAAACTCCATTGCCTTCAGCTGCTTCAGTTGTTTTTTTGTATTGTTTATGTTATTGTCTGTAGATTATGAAGCTTTGATAAAGATATCAAATTTTTAAAAATAACTTCAATAAGTATATGTATATTTTTATATCAATACAGAATTTATGATGTTAGTTTCAATACACATGATGATGTATTCTGTATCTTATAGAATTAATAGTGTTGTTTAAAACAAGTAAAAGTTTGGATTTCAGGTTTCTTTTTTGCAAATAAGATCGTTATTACTTGATTTGATTAAAGAGCAGTGAACACCTATGATATCTGGCCCAGGTGTGCAACACTAAATGAGGTTTAAACTGGGTGGCAGCCTTGTACCTCCCTGACACAGGATGCAGCTTGAATACTTAATAAGTTGTCAGAATAGGGGGTGTGGATTTGAAAATCTGATGAAATCATGTCAAGGTGTTGACCTATTACCTTTAAAATGTTGTAGTGCATTCCATGGAAGGTCAGAGTCTACTTCACTAATACTTTTCTCAGATATTATACAGTAATCTGTTTGGTTGATAACCTTCAGTTTAAATTCCATTATAATAATTGACCAATTAGATGACTGGAACACTAAAAATTATCTCTTTTTTTTTCGGGAAACTTTCATAGCAACAGTTGTGATAAAATTCTAGCAACTTCTCCCTTGTTTTTGGTGTTACATGCCCCTGGTCTGGGATGCCATTGTATATTATCATTCAGTATTCACCATATATCATTATTATATGATTTGTGCTAGTTGTTGTGGTCACCAGTAAGATTTAATATTGTATATTTTGAGAAATGTAGAAAGTTTTATATAAAAACATTTTCTCACCAATTTTCCTTGTTTTTTTATATCAGATTTGTAGCAACGCCGCCGTAGAGAGAAACAGGCAAATCCATTCCATACCGCATTGCTTCTCATAAATTTTGTTTATTCTATAACATATTCAAACGGCAAAAAAGAGCAGGCTAATGCCCCTGTCCTGGAAAAATTTCCTTCATTGCACTCTGCATGGCGTTGCCCATCTTCATAGCTCACATGGTGCAGAAAAGTAGGACGTAAAACTCCATTCATTTCATTTTCATTTTAACGCAAAAATGCTACTGTGCGAACTGTATAACGTTGTCCGTTTCTGGAGCAATTTGAACATTAAAAGTGCAATTTTGGCCATGCCCTTGTCTAGTAGTCAAGTAGGTGGGCTTAAGAAGACCGAAGGTAGTGCTCTGCTGTTGAGATTGACAGGTCGACCAGTCTAAGGCACCTATTTCTATTGGTGTAGGGTAGGGTGCGAATTGACGGTGATCGTTGAGGTATTATCGGTACATTTAAAAGTTGATTACATGTGGTTCTGTTCTTGACAGAATTCGCTTATAAATTCCATTGTATCCATTGGTGATATCGAGAGGACCGACGGGCAAAGTAAGTAAGATAATACCGCTAGAACGAGGAATGGCTTTATGGCAATATGGTACGGACTAATGCGTCTAGACCATAGAGCTATAAATAGGTATATTATATAACTCTATAGTCTAGACCGATAAGTTGACAGGATGTTCCGTTCTTACCCAATGAAAAGTTTTCGTCTGAACGCGCTCTATTATGCACGTCCGCCGACAGTTCTAAACATGAACAAGGGCAGTCATTTCATTCTAGGGTCATCTCCACAATAGCCAAGGTCAAGACGAAGACGTAACACTACTGTGGAAAATAAAGGGGCGAAACAGGCCTAAATGGTAACCTATATTTCACCCGTAAAGTGAACTGCCCCTGGTTATATCTGTTGCTATGAATAGGACCTATTGAACCCCGGCAAAATCTTCATTTAAATCATTGCAGAATGATTAATTGCACAGATCAAGAGAGAATGTCTTCAGAAAAATAACAGCACCATTTAATAAATAACAAAAAAAGCAGACAAAAAGGAATCAAACATCCGCCTTAATGTGGTCCGGCCACAGAGTTCACACAAATAGGATTCAATATTTTATCTCAAAACCTGCATGAAATTTACACATTTGTTGGAGTGTTCATGGCCTCAACAGCGTCAACGATAACTTCTAAAACGTCATCCGCTACATCATCTATGTCGTCATCGTCATTGTCGTCATCTGAATCGTCATTGACATCTGAATAGTCATTGTCGTCATCTGCATCGTCATTGTCGTCATCTGCATCGTCATTGTCGTCATCTGCATCGTCGTTGACGTCATCCACTAAATCGTCGTGTTCATCGTAGACGTCGTCATTCTCATCATCGTTGACGTCATCGTCGTTATGTTCATCAATGGCGTCATCAATTAAATCATCGACCTCGTCCATTTTTTCTTCGATTTCTTCATATATATCATGATTAACACCGCCACCTGTAACTCCATGGACACCGTGCATTAAATTAACCATAACATTTCCCACGTCTTCGTGAATGTCTTCATCCTTTTCCTCTTGTACGTCTTCGTCTTCGTCATCCGTATCCAAAATATCATTAACATCGTCGTTTGCATCTTCAACAACGTCTTTAATCTCGTCAAGTAATTCTTGAACAGTTTCGTCAATTTTTTTGGATTCCTTGTCATCTTCGGCAACTGCACCAGGTTTGCTTAGACTTTCTACAACTCTGATGTCGGCGATAGGCCTATGATCATCTGCGTCTTTGGCGTCTTCTACGATATCCAAAATATCGTCTATAATATCTGATGTCTCGTCATCATTTTTGTCATCGTTAGAATCTTTGATAAGTTCCAGTATATCTTCCTGGGCGTCATTCAGGTCTTCGGGAACATCATCTGAATCGTCGTCTGCGTCGTCGTCAATAATGTCATCGATCATGTCTATGACGTCATCTACTGCCTCTTCAATTTTTTCTACGTCATGAATATCGTCACCATCCTCTTCTATATCGTCATCCATGACGTCATCGAAAATGTCATTGATTTCGTCAAAAAGATCATCTTCGTCATCATCATCGTCGTCATCATCTCTGTCATTTTGTTCTTTCTGCAATTCACTTAGTATACTATCCAATTTAGAATCAATTTTAGTGTAGGCGTACCGGGAATCTGTAACTCTCGGAAAATGTTTTACAGAAGAACGAGAATCCTTGTAGATAGAGTTGAAATTCAGGGCAGGTCTTCCACAGGCATAGACAAACAATGTGATAATAGCCAGGAAGCACAGTGCAGATCTTGCAGCCATTTTGAGTTGTAGTTTCTAAGACGAACTTTGTAAATGTTATGTGAAGACTTCTCCTATAAAACACTGGACTGAAACCGACGGTTGTTTGAGAACTTCTTCACGCACTTGTCACACGACCAACATTTACTACTGTTCATCTTTAATAATTATTCTTGCTTTTTATACAACACACATTAAAATTTTGAAAAAAATATCTGACATGAATTTGTTATAAAGTCGAGGATTGGATCAAAAATCGTGAGCATTACCCCACGAACCAATAGAAAGCCATGACTCAAGTTTTTTTTATGTGATGTTGTTCCGTTTGGCCGATTTAGATTTCAGTACCGTGTTTAATCCATCAGAAGGAAGATAAAAACAATGTTGGACATTAACATAAATCTCAGTTAAAGTAGGGTTGTCTGCTAAATTACAAGATATTACGAGATATTATAATGTAATTATATCTTAGATTCATTCTCTAAGTGGAGGGGGGGCTGCATAATCTGAGCGCAATTGGATTTTTAACAACTTCTAGCATCTAGCATGTTCCTTTAGGCTAGTTGTGGATAATCTTCTTAGGGTTGCTAAAGGAACATGAGCATCCAGCGGCAAATGGAGATTATAAAAAATCGCCATATGCAGTTGACATGAGCGCACCGACAACTAAAGATTTCCAGTTACCGACAGTTAGGCAAGGCCTGCTACTACGACACTCTGCGACAACCCAGTTGATAACAGTTTTTAGCAGTTGTTCGATTTGGTTGTTCAGATGTGCCATGGCGATTAGGTTAGAATCTCGCCCTAAGCCCTCAAACCATCTACATGTATATTGACTAATCTCCTGCCCTGCCACTCTGGTGGTTGCCCATCCCATCAGTGTCTCTATCCTATACAGTCCCAAGTTCCCAGCTTCCAACCATTTTTAATGACTACCCTCCTGCTCCGGTAGTCGTTCCTACAATCCGTTACCTCTGACCCATCCGGTGCCCCTGTCTCTTCCTGTGCCCCTGCTCCTCTCGGTACTCCTGTCCCTTCCGGTGCCCCTGATCTTCTCGGTACCCCTGTCCCTTCCGGTGCCCCTGATCCTCTCGGTACCTCTGTCCCTTCCGGTGCCCCTGCTCCTCTCGGTAGATCAGCTCCTTCCGGTGCCCCTATCCCTACCGGTACCTCTGCTCCTCTGGGTTTCTCTGTCCTATACAGCCCAGTAGGTTAATTGTATACAGAGTGAATCATGTTTCTTTATGTGTGTCGTGTCAGTATCTTGTGTCAGTAATGAGAATTGTGACGGATGAAACTATAAATCTGCGATATGTAAGTCTGAAGTATTTCATACCTAGATAAAAAAAAAAAAACGGCACGTCACTTTAAAAATTCGGCAATGCCTGATATGTAAAAGTACTGAAAGCAAGAGATTAGCTCGAATGAATGAAGTTAAAAAAATAATTTTTCTTTTTGATAAAATAAAAAATTGTGAAAAAAGAGCCAAACCAGTATGACATAAACTCGCCATACCAAGGAAACTTGATTGTCTTAATTGGGTAATAAAGTTAATTGGCAACTTGATTGCTTGCATACGTTAAAGGGTAAATTGGTAACATGGTTGCTGTGATACGTCACAGGGTAAATTGGTAACTAGGCAAGTTGGTTGCTGTAATAAGTTCACCAAGTAAATTGATAACTAGGCAAGTTGGTTGTTGTAATACGTTCACCAGGTAAATTGGTAGCTAGGCAACTTGGTTACTGTAATACGTTAAAGGGTAAATTGGTAACATGGTTGCTGTGATACGTCACAGGGTAAATTGGTAACCAGGCAAGTTGGTTGCTGTAATACGTTCACCGGGTAAATTGGTAGCTAGGCAACTTGTTTAATGTAATACGTTCACAAGGTAAATTGGTAGCTAGGCAACTTGGTAACTGTAATACGTTCACAAGGTAAATTGGTAGCTAGGCAACTTGGTTACTGTAATACGTTCACCAGGTAAATTGGTAGCTAGGCAACTTGGTTACTGTAATACGTTCACAAGGTAAATTGGTAACTAAGCAACTTGGTTGCTGTGATACGTCACAAGGTATAGTGGTAACAAGGCAATTTTGTTGCTGTTATACGTCACAAGATGAATATTTTGCTAGTTATAGTTTGTTTATGGGGAAGTTTAGACAAAGGTAATTGAGGTTTATTGGTTGCAGTAAATTGAGGGCACTTCACTTTGAATTTATTTACTTCCCCTCTTTTAGAATAGTGATAGGAAAAGGGTGACCTTTTTGAGGTAAGAAATGGAGTTTTTCGTTTTTCTGTTCTTAATCCTATTGGGCTAATTAAATAAATTTGGAATTTTAAGTCAATTTTTTGGAATCTAATCAAATGGTGTTTAATGTCGTTCTCTATCTCGTTGGGCTAATGAAATGAAAGGGAGTTTTACACCCTACTGCTCTGAAACTGAAGAAGATATGTAATGTGAAAGATGTATGAATATTTTAATAAAAGAAATTACGTAAGACCCGTGACAAGTTGACAAGATAATGAATAACGACTTGATGATAATTTGAGATTATACCAGTTTATGTTAGCGACATTAATATTTATTACCCGGGAGAGGCGGCTTGATTTATATCACAACTTATGCTATGAATGTTTTGCAATAGGCTAGCTTTTTCACATATTCCTTTTCCAACTGTACGATATTACCCACATCTGTGAATAATACTATTGGTGTAAAAGATGATTTCATTGTTCTAGGGAGCGGATCGATTGGTTATTGAACTTAGTATAACGCTAATTGCTGCTTAAATGTGGGCATTCAATGGCGCTTTACAAACACACACTTAATAGTCAATAAGATTACTGTATTTCTTAAATATTTCATTGTAATTAAGTATAAATTTGAGCAAAAAAGGCGCCTGTCTCCCCACACGGATCCCAAGGAATAGGTGTGGGGACCACAAAGGGATTTGGAATGTGGGTTTAATTTTTAGAGTATATGCAAGGCTGGACGGGAGCAGAAGTCAAAAAGGATTTTACTGAATGACTAATTCGATGACTGGAACACTATAAATTAACTTTGGTTAAGATTTTGTTTTTTTGATGAATCAGTCGTCTGTCGTATAAAACGAAAGAAAACGTTATTAAAGTCAAGAAAAGCCGTTAGATAGACTTCTGAGTTATTTTAAGAGAATATCTTTAATTTCAACACAACTTTTTTATATTATAATAAATCTCGAGTTGTCACGAGCTCATAGAGTCGAATTTATAGCCATTCTGATTTATCTTATACTACAATTGTCCCATCTTGTCATCAAATTCCGGTTATATAGACGTCTGTCTAATATTTTGGGTCTATTTTTGTAAAATTATGAGAAATAAATGACAAGTATTTGTGATGAAATTTTTTGAATATTTATCGTATTTTTTATGAGATTATTAACTTTTAGACGATCTGAATGTATATTTGGGCGCAAACTACCATTTCGAACACTGATAAATCATATCGCACCCCTGAGCTATCTTCCGGTCTCGAATTCTCGAATTTTGCTCACATAGCTCCAGTGTATGACAGGCTTTTAGCAAGCGACAGGCTTTTAGCAAGCGTATGTAGCTTTGCAACCATGGGAAATAATTTAAAGAAATAACGACCCCTAAAATATAAAAGTAGAATTTTGAATATTATCCTTTATTACAAGCCTGTATAATATTATTTAGTAGAGTTTTTTGACTGTGAGCTGTATAAAATGAATATTTATAATGTGGAGCAAGTTTTTCTGTTTCTGCCAGTTTCTTCTCATCCTGGGTTAAACTGGTTGGGTAGGATTTTAATCTTGTATAACACCATCTAAAAATACAAAACAAATTATATTTTTATATTATTCAAACTTGACCGAGATCTCATCAATATACATACGTACTTAGTTATATAAAAGAAATTGTAAAGTGGTTTTCTAACTTTTTTTTATGTATAAAGAGGTTTTCTAAATCTTTAATGTGTACGGGGGACACTGATGGCATCAATTTGTACCATTCCAATTGTCAATCAGATGTCTGTGGTTCTTGGAATTCCACTAAAACTAAGGTGGTTGATGTCTCATTTATCACCTTTGACCCTGAAGCATATATTTCCAATTATTGACTCATCAAACACTTACTGTTAGTGGATTTGCAGGAACCACAGACTGAAGTTTTGAATGGTGCAAATTGATGTTATCAGTGTCCCCGATACACATAAATAAATTTAGAAAAACTCTTTACAATCTCTTTAAGATCAGATATAAAATGCAGCTTCGTTGCGTCTAAAGGAAATGTGAACGAATGGATAGGGGCAACCACAATTTCATCCACATTTCCGTATGTATGCCCATAATAATTCATGTCTTTTTTTTTTGATAACTTATACAACAAGACATGCACCAAAACAACACAAATTTTATTTCATTCTATATATTTTAAAATTTGTTTTTTTAAACCATGACGTACATGCACCAAACAACACAAATTTAAATTAAATTCATTATTCTTCCATATAATATATTAATAGTTTTAATATCTGACAGTAATAATATCTGTCTAACATCATATCATCAACCACATGAACTATAAAAGAACATGAGACAAGTCTTGATAAACCCAATATGAGGCCAATATTGGATGTTTTAGGGCCAATATAATGTATTAAGGACCAATATTTGATGTATTAGGGTCAATATTTGATGTGTTAGGGCCAATATTTGATGTATTAGGGCCAATACTTGATGTATTAGGGCCAATATTTAATGTGTTAGGGCCAATATTAAATGTGTTAGGGCCAATACTTGATGTATTAGGGCCAATATTTAATGTGTTAGGTCCAATATTTTAAATATTTGAGTCAATATTTAATGTATTTGTGCCAATATTTGATGTTTTAGGGCCAATATTTAATGTATCAAAGGCCAATATTTAATGTATTTGTACCAATATTTTGATGTTTTCGGGCGAATATTTGATGTATTAGGGCCAATATTTGATGTATTAGGGCCAATATTTAATGTATCAAGGGCCAATATTTAATGTATTTGTACCAATATTTGATGTTTTCGGGCCAATATTTGATGTATTAGGGCCAATATTTGATGTATTAGGGTCAATATTTAATTATTAGGGCCAATATTTGAACATTGATGTATTTGAGTCAATAAATAAACCAAGTTAAGCTATGTGGACTCTCTGAAAAGGATACCAAGTTGACTAATCCTGTGACAGAATGGAATCAGGTGTTTTGTAAGGGTGAGTATATCCCACCTTCTGAAAGATAGACTGCAGGGGGCAGAAGTGGTATTTAAAAATGACCAATGTATTGCTTATAAAAATGTTTTTACCTTTGTAAAATTGTCTTCCATTCTTGTGCCAGTTTTGGAATATTTTCTGAAAAAAATGGGGTAATAATAATGATAAAGTTTTCTGAGAATGCAAAACATGTTAAAAAAAGCTAAAAAAAAATCCCTTATATGAAATATTGTCTCTTAATGATAACATTTTCATTTAAACAAGATTTTTTAGAATCCATACTCAGATCTGATATCAACCGAACTAAAGTAAAAATATTTTCTTATAAAATTATGCCAAATAAGTTGACAAACCCAATTAAAAAGTGCCATCAGGTGTCAAGGAAGGGTGATATCAACTGACCTAAAGTAAAAATATTTTCTTCCACTTCATCGTCACTATCTTCTTGGTCTTCTTCTTGAATAAAATTATCAAACTCAGACTCGCGCATTAATAATATCTTTATCACTTTTTCACACTCATAGTCTGATAACACCCCCGTCATACCAATAACTATAGACCCATCTTCATCTACTATCTCCTACAAAATATTACAACAAATATTAAGATGATAATACCCCCGTCATTCCAATAACTATAGACCAATCTTCATCTACTATCTCCTACAAAATATTACAACAAATATTAAGATGATAATACCCCCGTCATACCAATAACTATAGACCAATCTTCATCTACTATCTCCTACAAAATATTAAAACGACTATATAACTTAATCAAATATTTGGGTGAACATATCACTTGAAATTAAATATCTAATTAATGACTCTTTGTAGACTAATCTTATCTTCATTTACAGTATTCTTCTACAAAACATTAATATATCATCACAATAAATCAAATATTTATTGATTCATTACAGACCAACTTATTTTATCTACATACCATAGTCTCTAAATATTCCCATTTATTGTCTAAGATTTCTTCTCCCCCATTTTCACTATTTGTTTCTCTTGCTACGTCAAATATTAACTTGAAAGGAATTTCAACCTACAATAAATATACAGTTAAAAAATTGCCTTTAAAATACACAGAAATAGCTTTAAAATCAGTCATGGGTTGTCAGATAGGTGATAACTTGTAATTCTTTTATCAAATTAAACAAAACACTATTTTACATCAAAGACCAGTAAAACCATGTAACTTGTAGAAATATTGTGATGTATACCCACATTAAGTTATATGATAAATAAATCAACCAGTCCTAGATCAATAATCAAAGTTTTTCCCTTTTTAAATCAGATTAATGTTTCCTTTGATCACAGTGTATCATTATTGTATTTAACCAGACGTACCGTGTCATTGTGGTTGTGGGGATATTTCTCTGCGTAGCCGTACATCTGCAACAGGTGGGCGTTGTCTGGCTCCCCATAGGAGTTAAATATCTCTTCATCCTGAAATATAATTCAATATTTACATCACGCTGGCAAGCATATTCAAAATGAAGCCATATTTATAACAGTTCTTACTAAACTATGTCTCTATCAGTCAATGACTTTAATTCAAAATACATTGCCCATGGCAAGGTAATTGTACTTTCTCTGTAAAATGTCTGTAAGAACTTCTTCATCTGACTGACTAGGATAGTTGTATCCCCTTGACCAATGACCTAAGATATAGAACATTTTTCACATTTGATTACTTGATATGATGTTTTCATTATAGAAATTCTCTGTTTGATGCATAAGTTTTAAAACTTCACCCAAAATCTTAACATTTTTACCTTTGAAATACTTTTAATAGCCACCATCTTTAAAACATCTTTATCAAATTCTAAATGAGCGTTGTTTTTGGCAATGCTGTTTAAAATATCAGCTACAGGAACCATCATAGGTGATGATGTAATAGTTTCATTGGCAACGGTGTCCTCCGTGAAGCTGTACGCCATGACAAAGGCAACCATTTTCTTATAAAAATCTTTTTCTTTACAGATGGGCCTGAAGAAATACATATGAACATTATAAATTTGTCAATGTGGTACAAATAATAATGCCATATTGTCGTTAAATAGTTGAATTGGTATGCTTATCTTCTCTTCAAACCTCTCAAACTATTACATACTTATACTGTGTATTATTAGATAATAAATATTCATGATGTCACATGAATTTGAAACTAGTCAATAAATTCCTTTCTACATGTGGTTCCTGCAATTTCACTAAAAAAAAGTGTGTGATGACGTTACTAATCGCAAAGGGTCTTATGTTTTTTGCATATTTTGCAATTAGCGATGACACTTAGATTTACTGGAATTGCAGGAACCACAGACATCGGAATGAAAATTGGAATGGTGCAAATTGATGATATCAATTTCCCCAAAACACATAGAAAATTTAGTAAACCTCTTTACAATCCCTTTAAGCTGAGTTCTACAATATAGCTTACATGAATGAATCAGGATGTTTGTTGATGAATGGGAGAACTATTTTATTAAATTCTGTATTAATAGATTTTAAATCTCGGTCTACTGCTTCAATTACTCCTGTACCTGTTAATAGCTTCTCCCTTTCTTCCCTAGAAACATCAAAAATTTAAAAATATTCACATACATAATAAAGAGATCAATCATACTTTAGTCTCAGAAACGGCATTTTTTTTATCTAAGTCAATAGCAATAGTGTTCACAACTCAGCCTTCAAATCCTTGTGTGTCTAGATTTATCCCTGTTATACTCGTCTTTTCTTAATACTCCGCCATATATAGAAAAGACAAATATAGAAATAGAAACCGAAATTCCTCGTTTGAGGTATTTTTGAAGGAATAATGCGATTTTCATACATTTGTAGTACTTCTGAAGACTATTTACATATATTCAAATACTGGTATTTGAAAAATAAAAAATTCAGATACCTGTCCCAGAACATTGGTAAATTGAGTTCCTTAAAATCAGGAACGAGATCTAGATATGGTCTCCATGGTGATTGTGGATTATTGTATTCATACATCAAAGAAATCAACAACGGAACCCATCCACTCTCACTCTGTAATTCTTTACTGCCTACAAAAAATATACCAATCAATCAACCAAAAAATAGACAAGCATGAAGGCTATAGACAGTGAAACAAACAACAGCAATAAAATATCACGCCCTACTTTTCTACATTTTAATTATTGAGATGATAAAAATGAGCAGCAGCATGCAGTGTACTGAAAAGTAGGAACAGCAAATCTAGATTTATTATTCACATAATAATGCCAGTCGACCCAGCTGTAAATGGGTACGGATAATCCAGGAAAGATCAATGTCAAGAGGTTTGGCCTAGGACCAGCTGGTAGAAAGGATCCTTAACTGTAAACCTAAGTTGTTATCCTGGTAAAATATAGTTGTTTCTTTCTGTCTTTCTAATCCTCAAAGGAACATCACTTGAAAACAATGAAAACAACTTGATATATTGGAAGGATATGAATTGTACCTTTAGCTAAAATATCAGAAATACTAGTGGTATTTTCAAACAGAAGTTTATCTCGTGGTATAGTAAATAAACACTCCCCTTCCTCTATATCAGCCTGGGCTATCATTCCATACTGAGCACATGATCCATTTTTACTGATTCTTACCTAGAGAATAGAAATAGAATTTTACATTTTCTTTTCTTTATTTCAAATCTTGAACATGCCATTTTACATTGTTTACTGCATACAGTTCCAGCTAAAAATTACCTGGGTTTAATATATCATTTACCTTTTCAAAACTATTTGATCCAAAATCTAAAAAAATAAATTAGTATTTTTGAGAATCAAATTGGGATAACTAGGTCACACACAATTTTAACAAGCATGAACAGTTTTAACAATATTTTACATAGATCTACATTGGCTAGCTGTTCAAGACCACCCAGCACTTTATTTGTACCTTTTTAGTTACTCTCTGACTACACTTCGACAATCATTTTCCTATGAATTGAAATACCAACTACAAAATACTAGTGAGAGTGTTAGATTGTCTTTGGATCGATGAATATGTTAACTACTGAAAAAAATATTAATTGTAAAAATAATTTTACAGAGGGGAATTTTCAGGCTGAAAAGTAGGTCATTTTCACGTGAATTTTCTGGGAGGAAAGTGTGTCTATTTAAAAATTTTAAATTCTAATCATTGAACCTCAAATTTCTATGGACCTGAAGGCATTCTAAGACAAATGGCATAAGATTGAAATATTTATAAAATGAGAGAAAAAATTCAATTTAGAGCTCAATGTAGTCAGAAACTAATCCCACTTGTTTTGAAATTACTCAAGAGTATAAAAGGGCTTGCCACCGAGTAAAATACGTATTTGGAGTGAATACAAATTTGGGAAACAATATCCTCATCAGATAATCATCATCAGTTTGAAAACCGAACAGAAATAGCTAAAATTAGTCCTGGCATCATTTATTTTTGGGATGTTTTGCGTGCCATGTGAAATGATTTAAGGAGGCAGATTTGGATTAGATAATGGGATTGTCCTCACTTTTTCGCTCAGTTTAATGTGACTTTCTTTACACCAGGTCAAAAATGCATCCAAATTCTGGTCTGCGATGTCTGTCGTTGAGATTTTATTTGGTATTTCACTGGAGTCATCATCTTTGTTTACTTTCGTCTTCGTGGGGGCCGCCATTTTTAGACTCTTTGTGGTCTCTTTTATTAAAGAGCGCCAGGGGAGTTAATTCTTATAGCTAATTTTGACTTTAAAACCAAAGAGTTAAAAAGGGGAGGCAATAACAAGAGCATGATGAAAAGAGATGATTTGGTTTGCAAAACTGATGATTTCTTTAGTTGAAATGAACCATCTTGCATAATTGTGCTATTGATTATGATTTTAAGCAACCAATTGTCTTAGTTAATGTCAAAGAGCTTGTGACAAGCAATTTCAGCATAATTGCGATGAGTGTACCTATAATTTTCAGTTTAAATGAATGAAAGACTACAGTGGTTTTCCCCTTTTCATTTTCCTCCCCAAATTGATCCAAGATTAACAGGTTTTTAATCAGTTTATTAGAAGTTAATTAGGGGAGGAAACTACAGAGAAAAGGGGTGAAAACCACTGGGATTTAAAAGTGGCCATGCTACTTTTGTGATATCTGGTCAAAAAACAAATATATTTGTTTTGAGCTATTCTGTAATATTGTTAAAATCTTGACTAAGTTGTAACTTTTTCTGTCTGATTTCAGGTGTTATGACAATTTAAGTTAGGATTAGTTAAAGATAGCAATGGAAGATTTATTAAAAGAGAAACTGAAGACAAGTAAATTAGAACGTCTGGTGTCCAGTGGGGGTGGGTGTATCAGTGATGCTGAAGCTTTTAATACAGATCAGGGGAAGATATTCGTGAAAATCAACAGAAAGCCAGAGGTGAGAGCTTGATGAATCCCAGTGGTGGAGCCAAAGGGGAGACAGAGGGGGCAGGCTTGCCCCCTCACAGCCCTGAATGTAAGTTTTTCGGGCACGACTCTCATAACTAGGTTAGAAATTCGGGTAACCTCAGATATTTCGACCCCTCTCGGACGTCAACCTGGCTCCACCACTATGAATTCCAATACATTTAAAGGTTAACATCTCCAAAATAAAGAGCGACATGTAGGTAATTCGAAATCTGTTCCGTACCAGATGATGTTTCTCAAACGAGTCATAGACATGATTCAGTTAGGAAAAAATTATATAAAACAGGGGTTTCTAAATATGAAGGAAAATGTTCAAGTTCTCATGGAAATCCAATCTTAATTGTGAGGCTGTAGATTTAGATATATCCAGTTTAAATGAACTTTCTTGATAATTGTAGCATTAATTTGAATTGTTATTCTGTTTAAAACTCACTTTGTCAGTTAACAATGATTGAGTCATAGTTCTGACATAATTTTGATGATGAATTTAATTATAATTTCAGGCTGGTCGTATGTTTCAAGGAGAATTGAAAAGTTTAGAAGCCATCAATAAAACTGGTACTGTTAAAACTCCAAAACCATATAAGGCATGAACTCTGCTCTTAACCTTCAATATTTTCTAATCTTAGATTCCATGTCATCTGAGCCTCAGATGTGATGGACTGATATAACATCTGTAGGCCTGCAAAAAGTGTGTTGGTTTTGAGATCCAGACTGGCCTATGTAAAATATTAAGGATGAAATGACACATTTTTCACACTTTGCATTTATTTAGCCGAAGCTTTGCTATAAATGAATGGGAAGTAAGCCTGTTTAAATTTCAAATTTTTTCTTTAGTTGATTGTCTTAAGGCTTAATTCCAGTTGAAATAATCTAGGCTGAATGGATGTGACTTGTGAGATTTTTCATTGACTTGTGAGATTTTTCAGTGACTTGTGAGATTTTTGAGTACATTATAAATATAATTCCAGGTGATAGAGGTACCTCAAGGAGGCTGTATATTAGTTATGGAGTATCTAGATCTAACGATAGGATTGTCTAAATATTCTTCTCAGCTTGGACAAGAACA